TTACACAGCAGAAGAGCAAGCAAATGATGTTAACTTGACTTGAGTCATTTTTATATGATTGGGATGATAGGCCCAAGATTTCTCAACAGGGCTTAAAAATAGGGTCACAACTCTATGGCAGTGACACATGGATCGCTTCCTTCCTTGTTTATAAAGTGCTCCCTAGAGCTCCATGTGGCCTGGCCAGGAGCTCCTCACACTAGAAAATGCACCACAAATCTCCCTGGGGGAGGCTGGGAAAAAAGGTAGAGTGGGCTTCACTGGGGCTGGGGAGACCTGAGGATCTGCATTTCTAACAAGCTCCTGGGGATGCCGAGGCTGCCGAGCCACCAGGACACTCAGAGCAGCAAGGAAATCTCTCTGCTCCCTGGGGAAAGGCCAGACCCTTGGCCGACTCTTCCTGCTGTCGTCACTATGCCCTTGGGGATGGAGAGCCATCCATCTCATCCCAGATATATTCTCAGAGCGTGGGACACTGAATGATAACACGTGCTCAATCTAGGTTTCTCACATGAACAAATGAATTCATATTTACTCTGAGCAGCTAGAAAACAGAAAGCAGGAGCTGGTGCGATGGTTCAACAGGCTAACCCTCCACCCTGTGGCCCAGCATCCCATATGAGTATCAGTTTGTGCTCCACTTATGATCTTAACTCCCTGCTTAAGACAGAAGAGGATGGCCCAGGTCCTTGGACCACTGCACCTACACGGGAGACCAGGAAAATGCTCCTGGTTCCCAGCCTCAAATCAGCCCAACCATGGCTATTGTAGCCATTTGGGGAATAAAACAGTATGGAACACCTACTCTCTCTCTCTCTCCTTCACTCTGCAAATCTCTTTCTAGTAAAAATAAATAAATCTGAAAAACAAAAAGAAAACAGAAAATAGCAGAAAGGGAAAACCAAGGGGCCAAGAGAGGCAATCGGAGGGGGGAAAAGCAAACAGGAAAGCTTGGAGATGAAGTGTGAGTCTGAGAGTAGTAATCTGAGAGAGTCCACTAAGCAAACTATAGAAGCTAAAAAGTTCACAGTCGGAGCTGGCGTGGTGGCTCAATGGGATAATCCTCTGCCTGCAAATACCAGCATCCCATATGGGTGCTGACATGGCCCTAGTACGTGTCAAGCACACCCATAGGCATGGTGCTTTCCTATCCTGCACATACCACCCCGATCTGGCTGGTGGCCTTGTGCTGCTCAGATTCACACTCTCAGCTGCTCCAAGACAGCCTCATCAATGAGAGTCTCCTGTGAACTTGGGGAAGGAAATGAATGATGTGTCTGCCGCATCCGGCCAACGGCCATCTCAGCAGTGTATGGTTTGGCATGAAACACCCCTGCCTTTCACAGTGTGAGAGGTCAGCCCTGGGCCTGGCAGCATGCTTGCAGCTGGCCTTGTTTTTGTTTTGGTTGCAAAGTCACCAAGACCCTCCAGGGAAACAAATCAACAAGAGTTTTTTCCTCTTGTTTTGTTCTAAATGAGTCAAACTGGCCAGGGCCACAAAGCTAACGTCTGCCCAAAATATTCTTATGCTTTCCTCACACAAAGACAGGGGTGACAGCCAACAACAGTTCTTTCCTTCTTGCATCTGACTTCATATTCTGAAGTCCTGTAGCCATGACAACCATAGGCTTCTGGAACCAGTGAGGAACATCATGCTGGTTATAAGAAAGACTTTCTGGTCAAATACTGCTTTATTTTCCTTTTGTTATTTTTAGGCAGATCATTCACAACGAACATCTGGATTTTCCCAACCACTGACTTCAGTTTCATGACAACATTGAGCATGTGACCTGGACCTAGCAGGGACAACTGCAAGAAACCAGGTTTTCACCATCCCTCCCCACCCCCACCACCCCAAAAAACACAAGAAGCCCAAATATGTCTGTATTTTTCAGCTTCTTGTGACCACGAAGTGCTCCCAGCCCTGCTTTTCTTGCCTAAACCTGGAGTGAAAAGGTCAGGGCTGGAAGTTTTAGAGAAATCAAGCCCTTCTGACACCATGACATGAGTCATTTCTTAGAGGGCGTCCTGGGGAACCAAGCTTGAAGTCCGCCTGTTTGTCCCAGACTGACAGCGATCTGGAAGAGGCTTTCAAAAGGTCAGCAGAACTCACTTTCAGGGTCCCTTGGCATGAGTACGTGGCAGGGGTTGGAGGGAAGGAGGTCACAGGAAAGCTATGAGCTTCTGGCTGGCAACTGGGTGCTGTTACCAGTACAGCCGAAGTTGCTGCCAGCCCAGCGTGCAGCATTCTGGAAGTGACTGCAATGCTAGGTTTACATTGGCAGGGCCCAACCAGGGTGGGTCCTGAAGCCCAGCACATAGCTGAATGCCAGAATCCTCAGCACTTATGACCTAGTGCTTTCTGCAACATTGCCACAGAAAAGCAACAGCAAATGTGTTAGCTCAACTCAGAATCTGGTGTTCCCAGTGCGCAGGTCCTACGAGATGTTTAAGGGAGTTCTGCTCCAGGAAACCAGTCAAACCATTTCACGGAGTTCCTTCCACAGGGGTTGGGGCACAGAGGTTGGGGATGAGGGGAGACAGCAAAGCATCTGGGGATGTTTCGGATGAAATCTCTTCAAATCCTGACTTTCCAGCTGTTGGGAGCCTGCTTTATTCTGACAAAGCTAATACCAAGTGGCCACAGTTCTGTGGAGGATGCTTTGAAAGCAGGTGGTAATGTACTGCCAGGGCCATTATTTTCCTTGCAGTGACATAAAGATGCCCATCTGCCACATTGTCCTGCTCCCAGATGCTCTCAGGGTGACTTTAAAAATCTCCTACAGGGTTACACTCTAAATGAGCTACCACATGCACTCTTCCTGAATGCATTTTCTAAAGCCTTTAATTAAGGCCCCAAATATCAAATATTCAAAAAGAACTTCTCACTGAAACCACCTGTGTCCCCTTGGCACAATGGCTAATTCTAACATCATCTCAAGGTTCTCTGGAGCTTCTTTCAAGTGGGTACCAAAACTCCAGTGATGGGCATTGAAAACTCCTCCCCAAACAATGATTTTCCCAAGATGGCTGGGTATGACTTTATGTTCTTTAACCTGGGACTAACAGTGGACATCTAAGCCATAAATTTCCTATAAAGTTATGACCACCCTAAAAGACAGGAAAGATACAAAAACATCCCCGGGCCCAAAGCACCCATTTCTAGAGACCTGCTAAGTCTAGTTAGTTGGAAGAATCATTTCAAAGATTTTCTGGAGTCTGAAGTATGCAGACTAGATTTAGGATAAAGTGCAATGGTGAGTCTTGCACTCTCCCCAGTGTCACAGACGACATAAGCACATAGTCAATGAAGCCACCTGCTGCACAGCCTCAAATGCTTACCAAGCTCATTGACAGGCCATGTGGCCTGCTTAGCACTGGCTAGCCTAACAAAAAACGTTTTTGGCTGCCAAGACCAACTTAATACTACTTTGGAACCTCATTTCAACCTAGGACATGTTGACTTGGGGAAGGACCCAAACCTGAATACAGAATCGTACCTGAGAGGCACACAGGACATCATACAGCAGTTACAGAACTTGTCTGCAAATTCATGGGTACTGTTCCCATCCAGAAGTCACGGTTTTACTGCCTACCACGGAATCTGGGTTGGCCCCAGGAATGCATTCCTAACCAATAGAAAGCAACACAAGTGAGACTGCAATTCCCAAGACCGGGTCAGAAAAGGCAATGTGGCTTCCACCTTGCTTGCTGGGATGCCTGGCTTTTGGGACCCTTAGCCATTATTTAAGACATCTGATGTCTTTGTGTCCTCCCAGGCCAGGTGCCAGACATATGCAAAGCCTTTAGAGGATTTCAGCTCCTCAGCTATTGGACTTCAAGGAACAAAGGCAGAAAGTAACCCCTGACACACCCTTTCCAGACTCCTGAACAGAGGATCCCACATCTAGGGGAACAAGAGTGTCTGCATTCAGCCACTTCCTCTCTTCTCTTCCTCAGGTTCTTTGGGTTGGGGAGTCAAATCAGATCCCTCCACTTCCCCTTCCCAGGCACCACTGATAGAACCAGCTACAGAATCAGTATATTCATTCTTGGAAAGCAGAGAGTTAGGGACTTGGCCTAAACATTTTTTCTAGCCAGCCCACCCCCTTATATGTTACTGAAGAGTGAAGACTAATTCTCTGCCTTGGATGACTCACTTAAGCTCTCAAAATTAAGCTGCTAGGGGCAGGCAGATACTTGGACTAGTAGTTTAAGACATTGGTTAGGATGCCCAGGTCCCATACTGGAGAACCTATGTTCGAATCCCAGTTCTGGCTTCTAATTGTAGGTTCTTGCTAATGTAGACACTGGGGAGCAGCAGTGATGACTCAAGTAATCTGGTTCATGCCTTGCACATGGGAGACCTAGATTGAGTTCTCAGCTTCTAGACTCAGTCCAGACCAGTCCTGGCTATTGCAGGCAATTAGAAGGTCAATCACAGGATGGGGTAGAGTTCCCTTTCCCTTCCTCTCATTCTCTCTCTTTCTGGCTCACAAGTTAAAAATATTAGGGGGGCAGCATTGTGGCATAGCAGGTAAAATTACCATCTGTGGCACCACAGCATTCCGTATGGGCACCGGTTTGTACCCTGGTTGCTCCACTTTCAATCTAGCTCCTTGATAATATGCCTAGGAAGGCAGTGGAAGACAGCCCAAGTGTTTCAGATACTGCATCCATGTGGGAGACCCAGAAGAAGCTCCAGACTTCTGGCTCCAGCCCCAGCCATGCAGCCATTTGGGGAGGGAACCAGCACATGATGGAAGACCTGTTCCCTTCGCTGTGTAACTCTTTTAATAAATATTTTAAAAAAGAGAATAGTCAATTTCTATTCTGCAAATTAAGGATAACAATGCCCATCTATACAGTTGTTGCCAAGATCACAATGAGAGACTCCAGCTAAAGTGTCTAGTGTGCTACAAATTCTCAACAACATTGTTTAACTATTTTAAATTATACTTCTCTTTTTCCCACAGGAAGACGCATCTCTTGTGACTTACCCCTTGCAAGACTTGAAAGCTGTCATTGTTGGGCGGTGGGTCTTGATCTGGATCAACACCAACTCTAAAGGTCACCAGGCGGGAAGACAAGGGGAAAAACAGAAAGGATTAGTGTGACTCTGGACAGCCAGTCTGGCTGCAAGGAGCCAGGAGGCTGACCATCTTCCCAAAGCAGAAAGAGTGGTTAGCTACAAGGAGAGGAAGGCTGTCATGCAAAAGTCATGAGAGAAGTCACGTACCACATCACACTCCAGAGGGTCGGAGGGCTGGCAAGCCCCATGTGTGCACACCCAAGCCAGGCCTTTGGAAAATGGCATGTGCTGGCAACTGGCCACCTCTCTGCACCAGGTGCTTCCAAAGGTTTAAATATGGCCTTTGCATGGGTTCCCTCATCTCTGCTGCTTCCTTAATTCCAGCCTAACCTGGTCTTACATCCCTAACATTTTATTGTAAGATTTTTTTCATGTGTATAAGTGTTATAGTTCGGATGTGCTTTTTGTGTGGCAATGTTAGAGGCAGTAGAGCCTTTAAGACATGGGGCCTATGCAGAGGCTGTTACCAGCTCCTCCTCTTTCTCTGGTTTCCTGTCTCACGATCTCTCTGCTGTCTGTGCACTCTCACCATGATACCATCCATCAGGAGGGGACACCATTGTGTGCCCTGGCCAGAAGCCATGTCATGCTGTTTGAACTTCCAGTCCAAAACTATAAATTAAAACAACATCCTTTTACTTCCAAATTATGCAGCCTCAGATTTTTCAGCATAGCAATAGGAAACTAACATAGCAGAGAAGTATTGTAGGAGTTTAGAGTGAACACCTGTATACCCATCACCACTAGATTCTACCATTATGACTGCATTTTTTTAATGCATTCAAATAAAGTTGTAGGCATCAGCACCTTTCTCCTAAATACTACAGCATGCATACTGACGGTCTCTACTTGCCCAAACCTTAGTCAGGTGCCTCTGAATCTTCTTCCCAGCCAGGCTTGGATTTGGAGACTCCCACATCCACCTTTATCATCACCCACTGTTAGCAAGAGTCATGTTAGGCTGGTTTAGCCAGAATCTCTCACCATCAGCATCTGATAGGGCTCTTCCTTCACCATCCCCCAGGTGATGTCTGAGCATCCTGGTCTGCCTTCAGCAAGCATCAAATGAAGTTGGTTTAGTAAGAACCCCTGACATCTTCTCCTGTTGCTTCTGCTTAGTCATTTTCCTTCTGTTAACTTCTCTCTCTCTCTCTCTCCCTACAAAAATCACATCTCAGTAGTGCCAACACCAATCACAATGACCCTGAATAAAAAGTCCACCTTCCTTGGGTCAGTGCCTTGGCATAGTGCATTGAGCATCCAACTGCCATGTAGTCATCGCACATGGATGCTGATTCAGGTCCATGCTGCTCCACTTCTGATTCAGCACTATGTTACTGTGCCTGGGAATGCAACAGAAGATGGCCCAGGTCCTTGGGCTCCTGCACCCATGTGAGAGACCCAGAGTAAACTCCTGGCTCCTGGATTCAGACCCACATAGCTCTAACCATTGCAACTATTTGGAGAGTAAACCAATGGATGAAATATTCTCTCTATCTCTCTCTCACTCTGTCTCTGAAACAAAAATATCTTAAATTCAAAAAAGTTAAAAATCTGCCTTCCTGTTTAAACATATGTCATAACATTTTCTTGAATGATACCATTAGAGTCCTGACCTGCCTTTAACTCTAGTACGTCACACCTTCTGGTCAACAGAGATGACCTGAGAACACACACATTCAAGAGTAACAACTGAAAAGAAAAAACAACTGGAGATAGAAAGAAAAAATATGGCAAAATTCACTTATCATAACTATCATAAAAGCTCCATGCACCTGTTACTTTTCTATCCCAGCACTTTACTCTGAGGCCAAGAACTGTTGCAGTTGATGTAGAAGCCACAGGGTGATGGCGGGGAAAACAGAGAGGCCAAGACAATCCTGTATCTCCCCTCCCTGCCTGCAGAGTTGCCAAGAATGGACAGCTTCATGCAAGGCAACCCAAGAGTAGAGCCAGTGATGTGTGACTTAACCTTTCAGAGAGGCACTGGCTGGACTGTGAGTGACATGTTCCTTGCAGTCTGGCACCAGGGTGCTGACTGCAGTGTGTGGATGATGGATGGGCAAAGCCCCATGCACATGTGTGAACTCATCCTCCTCGCCCTCTCTCTCCTCCTTCTGTGACAGCCAGAATCTTTCCTGATGGAAGATGAAGCAAGTGTGCCCCCACTTCTCAAAGCCAACCTCTACTTGAATTTCCAGCATGTTCAAGACCCAGCAAGGTACAGGCACCCTTAAAAGAGAGGATGGAGCAGGTCAGGGGTGGGGTGGAGTGCAGTTATCACAAACTGTTCTGAAGGGAAAGTTTCTAAGTGTAAGATGAATGAATGTCTTCTGCAGTAGACATCTTTCTCTGGCATCATTTTTTTTTTCTCTACTAAAAAAAGATGACAAACGCTTGTTAACTTTTTGCTTTCTGAATGGTTACACCCAAAACTCCTGTTAGGATCCTGCGGAGACATCTCTAACTCCCGCAAACACTAGATAAGACATTACTTGAATTGATTTTCTAGACAATGGAAAAACTCCTTACTTCCCTAGTCTCAAAGGCAAATTTTAAAAAAACTAATCTCCTTACAGATGAACATTGTCTTGCAAAAGTGAAAGGAAGGTCAGAATTAGATAATTACCATTTTCTACTCCCAGGGTAATGAGGGGTTTAAGTGAGGATCACAAGTGAACAATTTCACTACTAGATTAAAGGTCACATGTCAAAGGATCATTGTACAGACTATGGCTTAATTAGAAAGGTAACAGAGACGTAGGGTTATAACCTTAACCAAGTGATCAAATGTAACATTATCAACGAATGAGTGGCATCACAATGGGCACCACTTGACAGGTACAACAAAAAAGTACAATACCATTATTACATTGTGCTTGGCAAAAATGATTATGTCTTTAATCATGAAGAAAATAAATCTGAAAATTCCAAAACATGAAAGTTTCTGTAGGATACTATCCTGAATACTTCACACACACACACACACACACACACACACACACACACACACACACACACTATACAAATAAATTGGGGCTGGTATATTGGCACAGTGGGTTAAGGCAGAGTTTGTGCCAAGCCAGGGGCATTCCATAAGGGTATTAGTTCAAATCCCAGCTGCTACACTTCAGGTCCAGCTTCCTGCTAATGCATCCTGGGTGACAATGAATGACGGCCCAAATATTTGGACTCTTGACACTCATGTGGGACAGCAGGATGGAGTTCCTGGCTTCTGTCTTGGCTGCTGTGTCCATTTGGGAAGTGAATCAGTGAATGAATCACCTTTCTATCGCTCTCTTCCTCTCGCAGATGTTTTGCTTTTCAAATCAATAAATAAATCTTTTAAAAACAAAAACTTCAATGACATGAGACCCCCCACAAAAAAAGAGAGGTGAATTATTCCAGATTAAAAGTGACTGAAGAGACAAAACAATCATACTAATTTTAATTGGATCCTGGGGTTTTATGTGTGTGTGTGCACATGCAAAATTCATGCTACTTTTCTTGAGTGTGAGAAAAACGCCGTGATCATGTAGGAGACCAGACTCCTGGAGTACACAGGCTGAAACATTTAGCAATGGAAAGTCATGGCGTCTATATAACTTACTTTGGAGTATTTTGAAATGGTTGAAAGAAAGAGAGCAGAAAGGATCCAAAACAACAAGAATAAAAAAAGGTTGACAACTGGTGAATCCAGGCTGGTACTCAGATATTTATCATTGTATTTTTCTGATTTTTATTTTTGTGGATTTAGAGATTTTTGTAATTTAAAATGAATAATTTAATTTAAAATGAATAATAATTATATTCTTGGCAAAATATCTTTTAATAAGAAATTCATTTTATTTTGATGATGTTTAGATAGTTCAGAGGGATGCATGCCCATGTGGGTCATAGGGTGGGAGGGTCGAGGAACGGGGGAAACCGAATGACACAACTGCTTCCAATCTCCTTTTTCTCTTCCTGTATCCAGGCAAAGTGAGGAAAGTAGGTGAGAGGGCTGCTTCCAGCAGCCCAATCACATCAGTACCCAAAAAAAGATTTCAAAAACACAACCAGTCTATTTTCCTCTAATTTAGTTTTATCTACTACTAATAAGGATTCATGAGCTTCTATTATCTCAGAGTCTGAAAACCACAAATAAAAATGGTAAAGACCCATGGACCTATGGTGCTATAATATGTAAATACAGGTGCCAGGTTAATACGTGGATATAGATTTTAGTAATTGTGTGGTTTTCTTTTCCAAATTCTAGGATGTGCTCTTGAGATTTCCCCTCCTAAAAGTGAAGGCCGAGGTGGTAAACACTAAAAATGGAAACCTGGAGTTGTGAGGTCAGTCCTCCTCAGAGCCGCCTTCTCTTTCCATCCTTCTGCCCCGGAAATTCAACCTTGACTGCAGCCACTTGCTGTCACCCACTGGTCAACATGCAGCCCAGACTTTGACAGCACAGAGCCCAGGGCAGAGCAATATGCAAAGAAGGCTCTTGGAAGTCCCTGCTACTGACTGAAGTGCTCAATGGGATATGTCTAGCAGAGGAGACAGAGATGAGCATCCCAGCTTGCTATTGCTTTTTAAATACTGAAGAAAAAAAAAAAGACCACAGCTCTTGAAACACCAACGATGCTCTTCTGCAATATATCCCCATTTAAGACTGTTTACTTGGGGCCAGTGCAATGGCACCTCATGCTAATCCTCTAACTGTGGCACTGGCATCCCATATGAGTGCTGATTTGAGTCCCAGCTGTTCCACTTACAATCTAGCTCCCTGCTAATGACCTGGGAAAGCAGTGGAGAATGTCTCAAGTCTTTGGATCCCTACATCCAAGTGGGAGACCCAGAAGAAGCTCCTGGATCCCAGTTTCCATCCAATCCTGCTCTGGTCATTGTGGCCATTTGGAGAATAAAGCAGTAGATGGAAGTTTTCTCTCCTGTTCTCTTACCCTTTCTTTCTCCCCTCATCTCTCTGTAACTCTGGATTTCAAGTAAAAAAAAAAAACAACTGTTTATTTTAGGGAGATTTAATCCTGACTTTACTGGCAGGGTTGAGGGCCCCTTGGACCAATCCTCAAGGAGGACATTGGAACTTGTGGCTTACTACATAGGCCCCACCCTTGGAGCACAGCCCAGAACCAAAGTGGGTCTCTAGGAACAGCTGTCAAAGCAATGGGCCAGGAATTCAGTTCGGTGCTAGGCCACAAGAATGATCAGAAATAAGATTCTAATTGTACAGTTAGATCCTAAGACACTTGACTTGGTCCCTTGGTTTCCTAAAACTTCCAGATTTGAAATGGATATATTTCTCTCCTGACTTGCTATAATACTTTTAATACAAAATACTATATAAATCTTGCACTTTGGTGCTGTTTTATTACATCATGCTTTAGTATTCCCTTGATACATTGGAGCTGAGCTCATTAGAACACACACAACACAGTCTTGTCTTCCAGAATGAACTGGATTACTCCTGCATTTTTTAAAGAATGAGACAAATATAGATAGCCCATATCAAATGAGAAAATAAAGTGACCCAAACTGATAAGTTCCTTCTGGGATGAATAAATATTAAAAATTAATCATTTGTCTTCTGGGATAATACTTTATCCACCCTAATTAGCTCATGAAATGCCATGAAATTCCAGAAATTTAAGCATCAATGAACATTCTTAACAACCTGAACATTCAACGTTCTGAATACTTGGCAAATTTTTCATGAGACAGATCTTCAGACAACACCCTGAACACCAGATTATAACCTGGGTCCTCTCATGGTCCCAGTATAAGAACTTACACGTGCCTGAGGATATTCCTTGTTGAAAGTAAGGTGCTTAGAAGACAAAAAGTTTCCCTTGCAACTTTCCTGGTAGCTAAAGTAAGGTCTTCAAAAATGAACTTTTTACGGTAAGTACATGTGTTTTAAATAACAGAAAACAGCGTGAGCCCAGTGAGCTTAAATGCTTCAATTTCATTTCCTGCATGGGATCACAGGGTACACGTGGGGGCTGGTGATGCCAAGACACTGCCCCGTGATAGGTATTGCTGCTGTTTGCCCGCTGCCTTTGGGGAGTGAAATGTTTCCACAAAGTCAAGAACAAAGTGCAAGCCTATTTGCATTTGACTTTCGCAGCAGCAATGAGAATCAGATCAGGAAGAAAGCATCCCAATTAGAGATACAGAAAGGCAAGAAGACACCTTGAAGTTCTTACTGGGTGCCCCCATGTCACTCTCCTTATATATAATTATGTCATAAACTCAGGGACACTGAGAAACAAACTGCATTTCTTGGGGTTGAGAACCATGTTCATCTATTCTGATTCATCACTAGAATATACAAGTACACAGTGACATACGTAAAACACACACACACATACAGCACTAATAGTTAAGATGGTGTAATCCACACCCAATTTATGGCTGACATATGAAATCCTAGATTATAAGTGATAATCAATATTTGCTACATCATAAGAAAAAATGTGCCTGTGGCTCCAAAAAGAGAGACAGACAAACAGTTGTCAACTTGGACTTTGGTGCTGATGACACATCGTCTACCATGGGGAGGAGGGGGACAGAATCCCAGGAATACTGATGCAGTCATCAACACGGAGACACGGGGGGTGGGGAGGGTGAGTCCGAAAAACTGAAAAATTATCAGAATTGCTTGCACCCTTTGCGAAAAGGGGCAGGGGTTGGCACACGGAGGAAGGAAAGAAAAGACCAACAGTGTAAAGAGAAAGCTCTCGGGTTAGAAGGAGGAAAGCCAGGCCCAGTTAATTGTTTTCTGAGGATGCCCTCATGTCACCTGAAGTACTGCCAGCGGTGATCGTTCTGGTCCTCTTCGCATGGCTCCTCGACGCCAACTCTGGGCAGCAGAAGAAGGGAACATGAGCATGACGGGAACAACAGAGACTGACTCTCTGGGCACACGGCTGGCTCCACGCCCATGAAAGAAAAGGCTGCATCGCTTTCCCTGTAAATCCATACCCTCTCTTAACTGGGCCCCACTCTCCAAACCCCAGACAGGCACCAAGGCTGCTAAGTGTCAATGCAAAGCAGTAATGTCCCAGGTCAAGTGACGATCAACTAAGAACACGGCCAAGCCTCTTCAGACACAACGGGATGGAATGAGAGATACGAATACACCTAAACACAGGAATTCATTCAATCTTTCAGGAACTCATTTGGTTTTATAAAGTAAGATGCAAAGAAAAGGAGAAATCTCAAAGTTATTGGTTACCAGATATATATTTGAAGAGCTCACACATATTTTCATATATGTATTTCACAGAAGAACAAAAGCACTATAGTTTTGAAAAAAGCTAACAATACTTTAAAAGACATTTTTTTTTTCCCCTAGACAAGCAAACAACATTGTCCACAGACTCAGGAAACCAACTTATGTTGTTTTATTTACCACATGGTCTCTGGCTTGACATGGTAAATTCTCAACCTTCCTTACTGATTTCTGGTTTATTCAGCATACTTGAACTTGACCATTTTGTAAGAGCAGGGTTTCAGAAACTTGGCACTACTGATGCATGGGACTAGGAATTCAACACTGAACATGTGGCGTCAGGTGATGATTCTGTGTCGTAGGGGCTGCCCCACACAGTGTGGGATGCTTGCTACCATCCCTGACTGCTATCATCAAGATCCATTAGCAACCCACCCTGGACATTATGGCAACCAAAAACGTCTCCAGATACTTTTCAGTGTCCTGTGGAGGAAAACTGTCCTTGGCCGGAAACGACTGTACTAAATCATATCTCCTTAATGGAATGATGTGGTTCCCAGAGATACGAAAATTGGTTCTTTCAAGTTCAAAAATACCTTAGTTATCACAATGCTTTCTGGTGCTCCAAAGTGCCACAGTACATAAACAGATACACAGATAAAGCTCACCTAATAGTAACAGCAGCAGTAGTAATGCTATGCTTGATAAGGATAATCAAACAATGAATATTTACAATGTTCTTACATACCAGATGACACATTTAATAAGAAAACTTCTCCATACTTATTTATTCTTGTCCCTATTTCCTCAGTGAAGAAACGGACAGACGGGTGAAATAAGTTGCCCAAGGTCACCAAGGCAGAAACAATAGAACCAAGACTTAGCTCTTTACTTCACAGGATTTTGTGTTGGAGAACAAGTTGGCATCTTTAAACTCTTTAAAGATATCTAGTTACAAATGCTATTACATAAAGAGCTCAGGGCTTCTCTGTCTAAATTTCTTATCTTGCAAAAAAAAAAAAAAAAAGCTTTATTATAAATCCTCAATCTAACAGGATTAGACCAAACACTTAGACTTACTTGTCCTTGACCTGTTCTATCACCTCGCTCTGGGGTGTGAAGGTTACCTGTTCAGTTGGCTGCCCAGGCATGTGCCACCCAACTGCCCCATCACCACTTCATTGTGTGACTTAAATCTGCTGGCTTCAAGAAGACAGCCACCATGCTACCACCGTAAGCCAAGGACATGTCCCTGGCTCGTCTGCTGAACCAATTCTATGATGATTTTTCCAGTGGCCAGAATTAGGTTCTTCATGAACAACCACACTCCCTCAAGAAACTAAGAAAAATCCATGTAGGCTATATACTATTTAACAGAAAACAATTTCAGCATTATTCTTAAAAATATCAATCCCAAAGCAACAATTTAAACAGATAAATTGGATTTATGGTCAACTGATCTGACTTAGGCTAGATATATTATTCATTTTTATTTTAGACACAGAACTCGAAATTCAGTTTACTCCGAGACCCAGCCTGGGCTTCTGACCTCTGAGCAGTTACTTCCTCCTGATGCACCAGGACCTCTACAGACAGCTCTGAGAAGGCTGCTAGATTTATGGGGGAACACAGCAGCACCCTGAAGTTCAGGGAGTTTCTGACTCAATTATATTAAGAACTCGTCTCACAGAAATGATCCTTGGTCACTAAGTAACACAATAAGCCACAAGCCAGAAAAACCAATCAGTTTCATTACCTTATTTCAGAGGGAGTTTCCTTTGAGGTCCTCTCTATAAATGTCATTTTCTACATTTAAATCATCATTTTCTATCTACATCAGGGAAAGTGCAATAAATTAACACCTTACATATTTTTTTAACAGTGGCATACTTTGTTGCATTATGTTGCATGAGCAGAGTTCAACAGAACAAGGAAATAATAAAGACAGGATCAGAAATCAGGTGAACTGAAATTAGAAAAATTTACAATATAACTGAAATAAATCTTGGCTCTTTGGAATGATCAATAAAACTGGCAGTCTTTTAGCAAGACTGCACAAAGGGGGAAATCCATGTTATGAGGAATGAAATATCAAAAATCTCAATGATAGGAAGAAGAGATAATCACTACAGACTTTACAGATATCATGAGGATAGTAAGGGAATGCTATATACAACATAAACTTGACAACTTAGATGAAATTGATAAATTTTATAACCCACCCACTATGAAATAGATAATCTAAACAGTTCTATAACTCTTTGTATTTTTAACTCTTTTTTTTTTTAAGATTTACTTATTGCCATTGGAAAGTCAGGGTTACAGAAAGAAGGAGACAGAAAGATATTCCAACCACTGGTTCACTCCGTGGAGCTGAATCAACCCGAAGCCAGGAGCCAGGGGCTTCTTTCGGGTCTCCCATGAGGGTGAAGGGTCCCAAGACTGTTCTCAATTGCTTTCCCAGGCTATAAGCAGGGAGCTGGATGGGAAGCGGGGCTAACAGGATTAGAACCTGCGCCCATATGGGAACCCGATGCAGGCAACACGAGGACTTTACTCACTAGGCTACCGCACCAGGCCTACAACTCTTAAAGAAATTGGCTTCACAGGTCAGCAAGTTAAGCCTCCATTTGCTATATCCCACATCCCCAGCTCCCTGTTAATGAGCTCAGGAAAGCAGGAGATATTGGTTCAAGTGTTTGGGTCCTTGCCATTCATGTGGGAGACCCAGATGATGGAATTCCAGGCTCCCAGCTTCAGCCTGGCCCAGCCTTGGCTGCTGTAACTCTTGGGGGACTGAACCAGACAGTAGATTGTGTGTGTGTGTGTGTGTGTGTGTGTGTGTGTGTGTACGTGTGTGTCATTTTACCATTCAAATGCATACACACTTTAATAAAAAAAATAATTCGTTCCATAATTTTAAAACTTCTGAAAGGGAAGTCTCCAAGTCCCAGGGATTTTACCAGAGAATCCTACCAAAAGCTTGCAGAAAAGAACTAACATCAATTTTGCATGACTGATTCCAGAAAAGGAACATGTTCCAGCTCACTTTGTGAGGTCATGCTGCCTTGTTACCCAAACCAAAGAAAGTCAGAACAAAAAGAATGACCAACAACCATCTTTCATGAATACTGAATAAGAAACCTTAACAAAACACTTGTTCATAGAATTCACCAATATGTAGATGCAGGGTTTATTAAATACAAAATATAAAACTTTATAAAAAACCCTTTTAGGACATACACAGAAGCAAATCTTCTGGCACTAAGGCTTGTTGAAGAGTCCTTAGAATGGTATAAAATGTATGATCCATAAAAGAAAAAAATTATAGGGCCCACCATGATAGCCTAGTGGCTAAAGTCTTCTCCTTGTATGCGCTGTGACCCCATATGGGCACCGGTTTATGTACTGGCTGCTCCACTTCCCATCCAGCTCCCTTGTTGTGCCCTGGGAAAGCAGTAGAGGATGGCCCAAGTCCTTGGGATCCTGTACCCACATGGGACACCTAGAAGAGGCTCCTGGCTCCTGACTTTGACCTAGGTCAGTCTCAGCCTTGGCAGCAGCCATTTGGGGAGCAAGCCAGTGGTTGAAAGATTTCTCCCTGTCACTACTCCTCAAATCTTGCTGTAATACCCCCTTTCAAATAAAGATAATTAACCATGAAGAAAAACTGGGTGAAACACACACAGGGCCTTTCTGTATTATTTTGCCAGTGTACGATGAATCTGTATTTCAAAATAAAGTTAACAACTTATTCTAGGTCCAAAAGCCGAGGGACCCTGTACCCACAAGGGAAACCTGGAGGAAACTCCTGGTTCCTGGCTTTGGGTCAGCTCAGCCATTTGGGGAGTGGATCCGCAGATGAAAATCTTTCTGTCTCTCCTTCTCTCTGGAAATCTGATCTGCCTTTACAACAAAAATAAATAAATATATATTTTTAAAGTATGCTGTATAAGAAACATGCTATGCCCTGGAATCTTACAGCTCACATGTGAGAAACAATAAGAGCTTTGCTCCAATTTGAGAGTTAATTCCAAAAATGTACAGCACAGTAGGGAAACTGAAAGAACCTTTTCACAAATAGCAATATTAGCAAGTTTTGATCACCTTTGCTAGAGAAAAAACTGATATTTCTATTCCCTCTCCAGAGATAACAAAAAGGGCAGATTCTTTTTTAAAGTAGGAGGAAAGTATTCTAGAGAACTGCCAGCCAGGGAGTTATTAAGATTTTATATCTTGCTTCTAGATATTGGGATTTTTGTATTTATCATTAGGTTTTCCAAACTCTTAATTATACTAAAATGTAGTATTCATTCTAATTGGGGAACAACACGCATATATATCACACAGACACACACATACATACATACAGCAAATACTTAAAAAACTGACTTTGTGTCATGTATATATGAACATGTGGCTGTCACTTGTGTTATTACGTGTTTGTGTGCATTGCTACACTTAAAAGAAGCTGCCCAAACCATATGAAGCTCCGGGCCACACGAAAGCATAATCTGTTGCCATTTCTACGGGTAGATTCAGTAAGAACATGGACTTCATCACTCCTCAGCCTTTTTAACTAAGACCAAGTGTGAAGAACGTGAACTTCAGAGATGCCCCAAAACCTTGACTCACCATCAAGTAACTACGAGATCAAAGACAAGCTGTTTAGCCTCTGTAAATCTTGATGTATTCATTCAGAGAATATTCACAACATTGGCCTAAGCATATGCATTTATGAACTTGGAATTGGGTTGATGTGAAAGTAGTAACAACACCACGGTGGTTCTCAGTGCCCTCGGGGGGTTGGTGCCACGGTGCCTCATGGATACGAATGTGCACAGATGTTCAAGTTCCTTATGGCAAATGCAGTAATATTTACCTAGAACTTCAATCAGATTACTTATAATACCTGATACAGTGTAAATGCTCTGTAAATGACTGCCATATCATATTGTTTAGTGGATAAGAGCAAGAAAAAAGACTGCCGGGGTTTAGCACAGATTCAGTACCCCCGTGCACACACACACACACATGTCCCTGGCTCCTGGCTGGTTGATTCTGTGGCTGTGGGCACAAAGGGTGGACTGTGCACACAGAACACTAGGAGCACAGCACCGTGCAAACGGCAAGGGCTCAGGACACAGCTTGCAGAGCAAACACTGCCTTCGGCTTGCTCAACAGCAACTCCCCACCTGCTTCTACCTGGCTCCCCAGCCTAGCTGAGCAGCCCTGCCCTACAGCTCGAGCCCTGAGGGAAAGCTGCCTGCACTCTCAGCTCTGGGTGGGACTGTCTTAATGAGCCACTTTTTTGAAACGCTCCCTGGAAGTGCAAAATGTCACATGTCAACTCTATACTCAGTGGAAAATAATTTGGTCCTGTCGACACTGTCAAGTGGGAGGTAGGAGGGGACAAAAAAAATGCCTTGAAAAATCACATGAAAAAGAAATGCGATCATATCAGGTGCTGAGCACCCAGGGTGTGTGTGACTGAGCAGGCCAACGGGACAGGAAGCAGCCTCAGAGCGAATGGCAAAGTGCCCAACTGTGCGCAGGGTGAATTTCGATCTTCCCCTCATTCTACCATTGGGAGGAAAAGACAATAATATCACCTTATGCTTCACATTTCAAGTCAACGGATCATACATTTTCTTTTTCAGATTTCTATTCTCAAGGATGGCTTATTTTCCTTAATCTAACTCTTGAGATTCATGTTAGGAAGTGGAAATTCTAATCATTACCAATTTTATGACATAAGAGTAGTCCTTCACACCATAACCCTTGCCAGAGGGGGGACAGGACGGTGGTTCAGGGTGTGGACAGTCACAGGACAACGTCAGCTCAAATCTTGTCCGTTTAAAGCACTGTGACCTTGAGCAAGTTATTGCTGTGTACCTCAGTTTTCCCAACTAGAAAATGGAGATGGTATAATCTCCCTGGAAGCAATGCTAATATGTGCATGGCACCTTAAACTCCACCTGCAACACAAACATTATTATGATTCCTATTAAACTCTTCCTAGATCTGACACACCAGCCCACAAATGGCAGAGCAGGCAGGGGTCAAGCCTACCATCAGCACAATTGCCCCAGATGGAGGGGGATTATTCTCTCAAACTCTTTTTCACCCCAACTCCAAGAATGACTGAGAGATCCTTGTTTTTCTTCAGCTGGCGCAGCTGTCTTCTGCACTCTATATTGCATCCGTTTGAAGAGAAGGCAAGCCCGCAGAGAAGGAGAAACACTGCCACCTTGTGGCTTTGTAGAGAATTACTTGCCACAATTCTGTACTACCTACCCAAGATAACCCAGGAGCGTGCCCAGAAACACCATGGCTTCTCCTTAACCAGAGCTAGAATTGAGCTGTGGGTGTCTAAGAACCTTGTTGACTATAAGGTACTGTCTGGGTACATACACACACAGAGTTTGAAATGCAAATACTCTTAAAAACACACTTGGGCCAGCACCTCTCTTCTCTGACACAAATGCAAAACCACAGGCAGGGGACCTTTACGAGGCTGTGACAGATAAAGGTTACACAGGAAATGGTGCTTTTTTATGTGCACTCAAACAAAAAGAAACACAGCACGCAGCTGCACAATAAAAATCAAACTCCACTTGCCCCTTCTTGCATCTGGGTGACGAGTTTAATCTTCAGGCCCTGTACTTCAGTTCAAAGGGATGTGACGTGGATATTGGTGGGGTTGGAGAGCAGCGGGCATGCAGGTCTTTTCCCTCACCAACCAGTGTTCAGACTTTTTAAGGTTTTGCCCCTGTTGTCATGGTGCTAGCAAATTCCAGGTGTTTCCAAGTCCTTGTGCATTTGTAGTGCTCAGCAGCATTTTCTTTTTATTCTGGTAAACTCAGGGCCCCTGACCTCTGTTGATCATTTAAAAGTTTAACTCATCTTCCAAGATGAAATGATGCACAAGACTATGCATAAAAGTATGGCGCACGGATTGAGCTGTAGTACATTCCCGCCTGGGCACAAGGAACGCCCCCAGAACAGTGACAAGGGACACAGACGCCTCGGTTCCGAACTGACCTGATGTTAAGCCATGACAACATGGGTGTCGTGCCTCCACCAATGATCCACACGGTGAAGAAGACGATCAGGAGCGTGGTCGTGAACATCATCTGGCGAGCGTAGGATGCCGTGTCCCGGATGGCCAAGGCAAACGCCATCGCGCCCCGGAGGCCTGCGGGACCGAAAAAGGAGATGAGTGTCTAAGGACACAGCACAAGGTCTCCATAAAACGCACTGCTGCCCTGCAGGGCTAATGCACTCTAGCCATTCATGCTCCAGAGACCAGCTGGTTCTCCTCAGGAAGAACCTTAAAGGTGTGGGGGTTTTATTCCTATTTAAAACTACCTTTTGCAAAATCCTTACATACATTGAGAAAAGCATCACACTGTTGGGTCCAGCACAATTTGCCATTACACTGTATTATTTACCTGATTCTCCTAAATAGGAATATGAAAGAGGAGTATTAGCTCTCCAAATCTGCCACCAAATGCTGCCCGAGCACTCTACAGCCAGCATCACTTTATGAAACAGGCCAGGCGATGGCAATTAGCCTGCTAGGGAAGACAGGAGTTACAATGTCTGTGTGCCTCATGGCAATGTTGGAGCTTCATTCCCAGCTCTGGCTCTGGACTCCAGCTTCCTGCTACTGCAAACCCTAGCAGCAGTGGTCATAGTTCAAGTAAATGGGCTCCTGGCTCCTGGCTGTGCTCCAAGGCCAGCAGGCATTTCGAGGAACAAATCGGCAGACAGCAAGCCTCTGCCTGTCTTTCAAATATTTTCTTTTCCATTTTCATCCATTTTATTGAGGCAGTGGCATCAAATATTATTTTCAGCAGGCTAGGTACAACTAACGTGTGCATTACATTTGTGGAACATTCCCTTGGCATAGGCAAAGCCAGGCAAAACGATGAAAACACTCTTTGATCTTTAACATCGGGGTTGGCAACTCATTCTGTAAGGGGCCAGACATTCCATATTTTTACATTTTTTGTGTCAAGAGACAAATTCAGGGGTAGAAGAGAGGAAAAACTCCAAATTTCTACAAGTTTTTATTTAGAAAACTCAACACCATAATAATGGAGACTATGTTGCAATACAGGTATAGTAATGAAAAGAATGGACTCCTCTTTAGGAGTTGCTCAATTGGGTTTACCCTTGATTTTAGCCACAAGACCGATAAGCGGTGCTTAAATAGGTTTGAAATTTAGGGAGTTAGGGTTCCCTATGATCAGATGAAGACTGCAACTACTCGTGTGGAGAAGGCACTGTGCTCAGGAGCCAGGCAGGACCAAGGAGCTGCCCTGTGCTAATAGTTCATCTGCACTAATTAGCTTATGATTGTAACGTTTTAGAATCCAGATTTCTAAGTTTTTTTGTTCCTTTCCCATGCCATGCTCATAAACTTGTACAGTAAGTAAGACTGAATTCAGGGCCCAGTATGGTAGCCTAGTGGCTGAAGTCCCCACCTTGAATGCGCCGGGATCCCATATGGGCGTCGGTTCTAATCCTGGCAGCCCCACTTCCCATCCAGCTCCCTGCTTGTGGCCTGGGAAAGCAGTTGAGGATGGCCCCAAAGCCTTGGGACGCTGTACCCGCATGGGAGACCCAAAGAAGCTCCTGACTCCTGGCTTTGGATCAGCTCAGCTCTGGCCATTGTGGCTACTTGGTGAATAAACCAGAGTAAAGATCTGTCTGTCTCTCCTTCTATCTGCAAATCTTTACAATAAAAACACATAAATCTTAAAAAAAAAAAAAAAGACTGAATTCAGAGTCTCCAGCACATAGCTAGAAGAAGACTGTAGTGTAAGACTGTACATATGCCATATGAGAGCATGAAAAGTTAGGCTCACTGCGCCTGTTGGTACACTGACCCACATTTCCCCCCAAATTTCTCACTTACTAATATAACCGGAGCACTTCATTACAATCACTACGCAACACTGACTTAAGAGGATATATATTCAAGAGGGTGAGGCTGGTGGCACAGTAAATTAAGCCACCACTTGGCATACTCACATCCCATATCAGAGTGCAGGTTCAAGTCCTGGCTACTCCACTTCTGATTTAACCTCCTGCTAATGAGCCTGGGAAGGCAGCATACAGCGGCCCAAGTGATTGGGGTCCCTTGCCATGCCCATATAGGAGGCTCAGATGGAGTTCTGGGCCCCTGGCTTCAGCCTCGCCCAGCCCTAGCCATTACAGGCATTTAGGGAGTGAACCAGCAGACGGCAGATCTGTGTGTGTGTATGTGTGTGTGTGTTTCTTCTTTGTCACACTGCCTTTCAAATAAATGCATGTTTAAAAATATTTTCATCAAGCAAATAGAGAAAGTAGCTAGTTTTCTGTTCATCTGCATGGTGTATTTATCCACATCTGCATCACCCCACAGTTAACCATGCCTTCTGGTCAATAAAAACTTGAACTCAGAGAGAGACAATACAGGCTACATTTGTCTTACTAGGTAAAGGCTGCAAGCAACATGAAAGTGAAATCTCGTGTATTCCAGTGCCTTTCGATAGCTAGATTTCTCCCAGCATTAAATAATTTCTTCAGCAATAACTTCAAACAGCACCACGTCTGTAGCTTTTTAGCACCAAAGCTGAGGAACATATCTGAAGCTGGCCTGGAAGACAGATACCTCCAATTCACCTTCTTCTTGCATGTCGGCATTTTCCTAATCTGTAAGCAGGAGCTGGCCATTGTGTTCTTCAGCGGGCTGGAAATGCTGCCCCATGACTATTGGACTGCTCTGCTGGCTCCACTCTGCATCAGTGGTTCCCAAAATATAATCCTCACACCAGTATCAGTAGCTGAGAATGTGCTAGAAAGACACATTCTTGGGACTGGTGTGGTGGCACAGTGGGTGAAGCCACCCTATGTGACACCAGCATCCCCTAAGAGGGGCAGTTCAAGTCCCAGTAGCTCCACTTCTGATCCAGCTTCTAGTTAACGACCCAGCGGAGGGAAGATCTCTTTCCCCCTCTCTCTGTAACTTTACCTTTCAATTAAATCATGAAAGAAAGAAAAAAAGGAAGGAAGGAAGGAAGGAAGGAAGAAAGAGAGAGAGAGAGAGAGGGGGAGAGAAAGAAAGAAAGAAAGAAAGAAAGAAAGAAAGAAAGAAAGAAAGAAAGAAAGAAAGAAAGAAAGAAAGAAAGAAAGAAAGAAAGAAAGAAAGAAAAAGAAAGAAAGAAAGAAAGAAAGAAAGAAAGAAAGAAAGAAAGAAAGAAAGAAAGAAAGAAAGAAAGAAAGAAAGAAAGAAAGAAAGAAAGAAAGGAAGGAAGGTGCATGTTCTTGCAGACATTGTGGCAGTGTGCTGTAAGCGAGCCAGGCCAGGCAGCGCTTGTCTGCCTTTGCAGCCTTGAGCCTCCTGAAGCACTATTTCTTCTAAACCCAGTCCAGAGCCACCTACTTTGTGAAGGTGGCCTGAGCCCGTGGCTTCTCATCCACATCTCAGTCTTTTCTTTTGGTGTAACTCACCAATCCTCTCCTGGGGGAAAAATGAGTTCTTTATGCACCTGCCTCCCCCTCTCTCCCCAGTACACTGTGAGTTCCCCGAAGGAAAGCTGGTTTTTGCATCATCCACATCCAGGACCTGTGGCTTGTAAACTAAATGTCCAAGGGCAAGTAAATCCGGGCTGAGACATGAGCCAACAAGAGATACAGACACTGCTTCCCAAAGCAGAGCCTGCTGGTGTGGGACCTCTAGGAATGACTGTGGCAGCAAAAGGGACTGCTATGCCTCTTACTCTCTTTTTTTAAAATTTCTTTTTTTTTTTTTTGAAAGGCAGAATTAGAGAGGGAGAGGGGGAGAGAGAGCAAGCCAAAGAGAACTCCCATCCGCAAATGGCAGCAGCAGCCAGGGTTGTGCTAAGGCCAAAGTCAGGAGCCAAGAATCCCACCTGGGCCTCCCATGTGGATGGCAGGGGTCCAAACACTGAAGCCATCCTCTGCTGTCTTCCCAGGTACATTAGCAGGGAGCTGATCGGAAGTGGGGAAGCAGGGACAGGAAGCAGTGTTCCCGTAGGAGGCAGTGATGGTGTATTCGGCACGTCATTTACATAAACGTTGTTGGCGTTTACCACCCTCCCTCCCCATGTAATCAGGCCAGTTACTCTGTCCTTTCTTTACACCTGTGTGCTTCTTTGTTGGCCTTTGTGCTTACAATGGCTTCTCTGGATGCCTCAGCTGTGCAGTGCAAAGGGGGACATGTGGGAGACAGGCTTAATGAGCACGTACCCCTAGCCACTAATTGAAGGAGCATCAATATTTTAATCATACTACCATTGCTTGCTGAACAAAATCTCATGTCCTTTACACACTTTTTTTTTTACCTGAAAACATCATCATATGTTGAAAATTCCAGCCGATCTTATGCCTTCTGCCCAGGTTGAGGAAGAAGGAGAGAGGGTAGATATGTGCAGCTCTGCCCAGGAAGATGGCAACCTGCCCACCAGGTGGAGGTTAAGGGCACAACAGATTTCCAAAATGGCACCTCCACCCCCCTGACTGAGCAGGTGATGGCAGGAATGCTATGACATGTCAGTGTGACCCAGGGAACTCCCCGCAAAAGCCAGGCCATCTGGCGTCCCTCTAAGCACTCCTCTGGCCAACCAAGTGGAAGGCAGTTGACCGTCTCTCCCTACCTCTTGATTCAGACAGGCAGTTTCTAGCCCACAGTCTGGGACTCACTGTTGAGACTTCGCGATTTAATTCCACGGGTCTTGGCCAATTCTGGACTAAAATGAGTCCAGAAACAAGCTCCAGTTCTATGGTGGGAGTGAGGACTTGAAAGAAGCAAAAGCGTGGGTTCTACTGAAAGAAAAAAAAATCCACAAGGGGAAAAAAAAAATAATCCTGAAACAATCCTCGCAGCACTCAGATCACTCAGAGCTAACCTGGGGAGTTCTCTGTACCTACAAGGCCAAATTGTCTTGCAGGAGACGGTAAGAAATGGAAAAAAGCACACTGCCATGGAAAGCCAAGAATTCAGGGAAACTCGTCATCTGCTACTGGCCAGGTTTAGAACAGCACCCCACAGAGAACAGCACAGCCCCCCCCCCCCCCGTCACAGCAGGAAACCCCCGGGGGGAGCCAGAGGAACTGGAAGCTTCCTCTGCCACAGCTGCAGGAGCAGCTGCAGCGGGCAGCCGGGGTGGGGGTGGGGGAGAACAGTCTTAGCCTCCTCCAAGGGCTAAACAAGGACTGTTTTGCTTCTTTTCCTTTTTTTTTTTTTTTGTTTGTTTTTGTTTGTTTTTTCTATCAGAAGGAAGCAGGCAGTAGGTACAAAGCACATTCTAGCCCAGAAGTGAGGCAGAAGCACTTAAAGTGATGGGCAGCCTTTAGGCTTCTCAGAGGGCCCAGCTCTACCCGTGGGCAGGCCCCCCTCTGCAAACAGGCTGAGCTCCGTCTGCCACCCTCAGGATGCTCCATAGGAAGACAAATCTAAACAGCATGCCAGATCCCTCTTCCAGAAGAAAACAATGAGCCTGCAGACTCAGTCCCTGGTCTGGTGAGCAGGTAACATACAAGCATTCTAACTTGAAGGCAATGGGTCAGTTCACTGTCATTACCAAGAGGCTTGGAGAGTGTTAGTTAATCCTATGCAAGTAATGAAAAGCCTAGAAGAGAAAAATACTCCCCCTACCTTTTTATTTTAATTTTTGTTTTCTGATCAGTAATCAAAGATCTAAGAATTCCCAGGAGGCCTGGGGAAAAGGTCACGTGAATAACCAGCATTAGACAGACTCAGCTCAAGATCTTGAAATTCAGACCCAGAAGAGTTTACTTTCATGGCAACAACGGTATCTGAGTCCAAGTTCACAAGACCAAATTGTTGACCCATTGCTAGGCAGTCACATGCCCCATCATTTAGAGAAACAACTCCCAACATTACAGCTCTCTGCCAAAAACTGTACTCACTGTGAGACCCAATCAAGGAACCAAGCTGGTTTGTCTATCTTGTCTTGCTCTCCTTTCTCCCCTTCCTCTCTTTCTCCTAAAGGGTCCCATTGCTACCCTGATTTGCAGCAGTGGGGCAGCTCAGGTGGGTGAAGGTGTGGTTCCTGCCTGCAGGTGTTCCTGGGCAGGGGGTGCGGGAGGGGGATGAGGAAGGGCTGCTCACACTGGAAGTACCTTTGAGAGTAAATATAAACCTTCAGGTCACCCAAACTAATGGGACATCCAAAATTACTCTAGGGACTGACATGGTCGTTGACCTTTAAGTAGACCCGGAAGGGCCTGTCACAAAACAATCACCTGCCAAACAGGAGCTCCATGGAGGAAGCATCTTTTACAGAAAGTGCCAAAAGGATGATCTCAGATAAATGTCAAGATATCTTAAATCAAGCACATTTAGTTTCTGAAAACACAGTTGGAGCTTGCTTTTTCTTATCATAAAAAAACAGCATGAACCAGCACTGGCCCAGGCACACTCCTAAAAGAGAAACCACCACCATCACACCACTATCATCATCATCATCATCATCATCATCATCATCCTTGCTGTTGTCATCATCCTTGTTGCTGTTATTGCACCCTGGCAAGGGTCACTTCTCTATGTAGAAAATGGTGGACCGCAAAAAGGATACAAAGGCGCCAATGATGAAAATGGGGCTGAAAACGTGCTTCTGGAAGGTGAAGAGTGCCAGTCCCATGTAGGAGAAGATGAAGTTCTCTGCCAGGAAGTGTAACACCTCAAAGAGCTGCCCGGAGAAAGGAAAAGGAAGCTGTCAACCCGACGCACCCTCTTCGTTGTGCTAACAGGTTGCAACTTGTCAATACCAATGACAATGACAACTTGTCAATACCAATGGCTCCTTCTGACCTGCTTGGTTCGACTTCTTGATTCCACTGAAAGATTGTTGTAGGTGTAATGAGCTTGAGTGATTCCACAGAAAAGAACAGCTACCACACCTGCCAAGAGATTATATTTTTTTCAATCAATGGGGAAAAGTTAATGTAGGCCAGCTCAGAATAGTCAACTTACTGAATATTTTTTTCAAGTTTCCCAATACTGAAAGCATCTCCTGCCCATCACCGTTCAAAGCAAACTTTATATCTCCCAACCCCACCTGCTGTCAAAGCTGAGTCCCCCGCCTTCCTCTTTTGCTTCAGGGTCAAGGGCATTCTCTCCTCTCCCCTATACTCCTACTGAATTTATGAGCAGTCATCAGCATATAACACTCATCCATTCCCTCACAGACTGTGAGGGCCCACCATTTTATTACATCCTTCTCAGGCTTCAGAAGGAGTGGATTTAATTTAAAGCCAATATTTTACATTTTGGCTTTGTCTGGGGCTTCAGATGAAATAAACTGGGAGTACTATTCAATTTATCCAGGCCCTGATGATTTGATTTCCGGTTAATCGTAACTATTCTATTAAAATTGTTACACCCCAGACTATACACATTCATAAACAGCTGTCAAGTTTTAAGGGAATATGGTATTTTGTGATACTGTATATATATTGCCATATTTTTCCAAAAAAAATGACAAAGGTACTTTATTGGCGTAACATGGTAAGCTAGTGGACCATAAGGGAGCCAGTTAGAGTGCCAGCTGTTCTACTTCCAATCCAACTCCCTGCTACTAGTCCAGGAAGAGCAGTCAAATATTATCCAAGTGCTTGGGCCTCTGCACCCATGTGGGAGACCTGGAAGAAGCTCCTGGCTCCTGGCTTCAAATTGGCTCAGTTCCAGACATTGCGGCCATTTAGGGAATGAACCAGAGGATAAAAGATTTCTCTCTCTCTCTTTCAAATAAATAAGTGAATCTTTAACAAAAATTACATATGGTAATTGTACTTGAGTTATAATGTAGGAACTCAGTTCTTTCTTTTAATGAGAATTTAAGGAACTAAAAAATTACATGATTCACCACACCAGTACTAGGCTGAGTGGCCCTAATTTTAAAAATCCAACATCCCAAATGTTCAAAAATCCAGAACTTTTTGAACACTAACATAATGCCAACGCCATGTGTGGAAAATTCCACACCTGACTTCATGTGAGAGGTGATAGTCAAAATGCAGACACGTAAAACAGTTTGTCATCCCTAAGAGGAAAAGAGATCCTTCCAACGCCCTTCAACTCCAAAACACAATCTGTCTCATGCATTAAATTCTGACAAAATATTACATAATGTTATCTTCATGCTATATGCATATGGTAGATATGAAACCAAAATTAATTTCCTATTTTGATAGGAGTCCCATACTCAAAAGATCTCATTATATATGTGAAAATAGTCCAAGTGTTTTAAAAAACAACCTCTGAAATCCAAAACAATTCTGACCCGAAGCATTTCAGATAAGGAATGTACAACCTGTGTATGAATCCGATGCCACTGAAACATGAGATTGAGAAACAACAATTAAGTGGTCCAGAGACAAAAACTATAACAAATCGTGTTCATACTCAGAATCTAAAGAGATGTAAGCTACCTTTCAAAGGGGACATATCTGCCATTTATTGCTGCTGTTTGTAAAACCAGATAGCAATCTCAGGATTTTCATACATGAGAGGACTTCAAAATGTGCATGAAAAATGGAATTAACAGATAAGCTTATTCTGGTACAAAAAGTTTGAAATCTGCAAGCAGCTAAACACACAATATGCATTTCTGCGAGCTCCCCTATACACAGATCTTAGAAATGTTTGCATCCAAGTAAACATATCTTTTAATTCCCTTCTCCATTGCACCCTTTGAAGCACTTTCTGAGTCAGTAACTTCTGCAGTTTACTGTTAAAATGAGTACTCAAAGACTAATAAACTTCATCCACCATTTCTTTGGGCACTCCTGGAGCGCTGTACCTACATCACCTTTACAGGGTTGCTTTCTCTAAGAAATCCTCATCTCTTCACAAGTTCCCCGGGGCCACACTACAGCAAAAGAGGGTGACCCAAGCGCTGAGCGAACCCACCTGTAAATCCGCAGGCTTCTGCCAGGAGAAACGTGCTCCAAGACATGAGGAAGAAAAGCGCTGTCTCCAGCAAGGGGAAACAATGCAGCTTGGTAAACTTGGTCACGTCCACACCCTGTTAAGGACTACAGCTCTGGGCAGGTGTACCAGGAGCACTGAGAACCACATCTGTCTAAGTCCCATTGTCCCATTCCTCGGGGCTGACCTTGCCCTCCATCTTGTCTCTAGGGGCACTAAAGCTGGCAGCTGCTTTTTAAAGTACTAAAATAAAGAAAAATTCCAGTAGAGCACGGATTAGTAGGGGCCGGGGCCAAGTGGGAGAGGAGAATAAGATACTGTTTAAGGAGCTGAGAGCTTCTGACTGGGATGACAAGAAAGTTCTAGAAATGCATAGTGGGGAATATGGATGTACTTAAGGCCTCAGAATTGTACACTGTAAAAGGGGTAAGTGGCATATTTGGGTACATGCATATTGCCAGGCTTTTTAAACTTGAGAATGTTATAGGTAAAAGCCACTGAATTGGACGCTTAAAGTGGGTAACTTGTATGTATGGTATGTGAATTACATCTCAAGTAAAGTTGTTTGATAAAGATTCAACCTTCTGAAGAAAGTGACAACTAGTTTTCTGTGCTCCTGGCAGTACCCCCAGGGGCTGAGGGGTGCTGCTGTGGCTTCCAGCTGCACTGGAGAGTCAGTTCTGACACAGGTGGAGCAGCCGCGGGCAGGCCCCATGCCTTGATATTCTGGGTCTGTGAGCTAGTAAGGCGTGAGTCCACAGCAAGTGTCCAATGGAGGCACAGAAGAGAAATGCAAAGAAAGCATCTGGAGCAGCCTCCAGGTGCTGGTGTCGCCTTCTAGGGGGACTGGAGCTCTCTCCTGACATGACTGTTAGACATGGGGCCAGCAGGAACCCAGCGCATGTGCTGCACTGAGCCGCATTTAAATCCCTGAGGTACCAAAAACCCTCCATTACAAAAAGGCACACCTCCATTGCCCGATAGGATACCCACCAGCCGCACACAGCTATATCCCAAATGCTGGTGGTCTGAACTGAGATGTGCTGCCAGTGCAAAACATGCACTCTATCTCAAAGACATGACACAAAGACCAAGCACACACAATCTCATGAGCCACTTGGGTCATTTTTCTCTCTCACTGCTTGTAGAGAGAAATGAGGTGAACCCCACTGCATCCCCAGAGAGAATGTGAAGAAGGACTGAGCACATCTGTGGAGGGGTGGTCTGCTTGGTCCCCATTGTGCCTTTACTTTTGTTGTTTGCTTGAGTACACGAGACAACATGCCATTGGCTATTTACAGAAGGCAACCTTGCAGCAATTCCAATGGATGGTCCCCACTAGTTATGATTATGGGAATAGCCCATGGCCACAAACAGCAAATGATAGCAGCAACCTGGGGTAAGGTACTTCCCAGCCAGTGGCCCTGACCCCAGCCTCCTCCCAGCTCCTCAGCTCCTTCTAAGCCCCTAGAACTTGAGGCTGTGTCCAGAGCTTTGGAGGAGGAGAGGGGGTGTCCATTTCCTGGCCTCCATCTCACAGTGCACTGTCTGCACGCACTGGATGTGCTGCCTGTGCAAAGCAAGACCTTGGAGTTGCCAAGGCAACCAAGGTGAGGAGAGCTTCCCTCTGCTTCTCTGCCCAGACCTAGGGAGAGGGAGGCTGCAGGCCAGGTTCCCGGAATAGGACTAGACAGACACTTGAATACTCTCATCCAAGACACCTCTATCAGCCCAGACACCTGGGGCCCCATGCCCCTCCCTACAGTCAGGACTGTGAGAAACGGAAAAACAAATTCTTAAAAAAGCCCAAGCCATCTCTCTTAAAACCAGTGTCCAGTCAGACACTCCACTTCCCTACTTCTCCGCGGGCAGTGCTTTCCTTTCACTTTGCTTTGAATAAAGTTTCTGTTAAGCTTGTACTTGTTTCCTGGCTTTTTATGTCTACACTAAGCCGAGGAAAGCACCCATCAAATTTCTCCGATAACAACGTTTATTCTCCAACGGCTCAGCAGAAAGGGTTCATAAGAAATAGCAAAGGCGAGGACAGGGGAGTCTAGAAGCTGTGGCCCTGAGATCTTCTCACTCCTAAGCTACAGCGCCAGCACCTCAAGAACCACAACAGCCCAGTGAAGCAATCGATTTAAGAGTCTGATGTGAAAGGAAGCACTGAGAACCTTCGGAAAGTGTGATGCTATATACACATGCCCAGGTCAGAGCAAAAACCATGGGGTGGTTGGCAGGGGGGTGGGAAGTAAAGGATATTAGGGCAGTCACAACACCAGTCACAGCTCCCATAGTAAAAGAGCCACTGAATATACCCAGGAAAATGCCAACTGACTTAAAAAAGGCAGCAGCATCAAAGGCGTGCGTGTTCAGCCCTGCCGGCTGGTAGGCAACAATAGACCTAGAATTGAAAAGGAATTGAGAGTTAGAAAAGAACACACTGGGTTCACACCACGGTATACTAGACTTCCCCCACTCCCACCCCATTCATGGTTTCACTTTCCACTGTTTTGGTTATTCACAGCCAACCATAGTCTGAAAATATTAAGTGGAAAATTCCAGAAATAATTTGTAAGTTTTAAGATGTATGCCAGCTCTGAGTAATTCATTAACTCCTTGTGCCATCCCTCTCCAACCCACCGTTCCTTTGGCATAGCCACGCTGTGTATACTACTCACTCAGCAGTCACTCAGTAACTGTCTTAGCTATCGGATCAACTGTCACAATGAACAAATAGCCCAGCTTCATCAAGATAGAGCCGGTGGGTCTCATTTAGCACACCATCCAATTCAACATCTAACCCCCTGAACACAGACCATCCCCCACACGGAGCCCTAAGCATGCAGCAAAGCTGGGGCTCTGTGACCCAGCTACTTACGAGGACAGCACAATGGCCACGGCATCGTTCAGGACGCTTTCCCCGAACAGAAGAGCATACAGGTCCACATCGGCGTGCAGCTCATTAAATATCGCCAGCACAGTCACTGAAAGGTGGGCACAGCGATCAGTTTGGGGTTTTGGCTTTAAACCACTACTCAAGGCATCACAGAGGTGATCCAAAGACCAGATGGTTTGAGATACAGCAAGGGAGGGAGGCACAGGCAGTCTACGGCCATGGTCATACTTCCTGAGTCTAATGAAATAGCATTACGTTTCCACTGCAATGCCTGCACACCTTAAGGACATTGGTCACAGGGCTTGAAAAGGCCATCACCTTTTCCATGGCTTGCCTCCAGCAGTGGGCTACAACCTCTATGCAGGAAGAACGCGCAGCACAGAGCTGTCATATTTCTCAGGCATTTATCAATCACTTATTCTCTGGATCAGCACTTCTCAAACCTTGGACCCCAGGAAACCTTTATCTTGTTGGAGACTGAAGCCCCCAAAGATCCTTAGTTTGACAGGGAACAGCTATCAATGTTCACTGCATTGCAAAACAACAGGACACATTGCATCATGCATGATTAACATGAGAAGCAAGTTCATGACAAAATAAACTTACTTTTGAATTCAATTTCCCATGACCTTTTTGAAGTTCCTTAAAATAACCCATTATGCGTTATCATTACATACTTTTAAAATTTATTCTTAATGATTTGAAAGGCACAGTTAGAGAGAGAGAGAATGAAGGAGAGCCAATCTTCCATCTACCAACTCATCCCCCAAATGACCACAATGGCTGGAGCTGGACCAGGGTAAAGCCAGGAGCCCAGAAATTCTTTCAGGTCTCCCACCTAGGTGGCAAGGGTTGAAACACTTGGGCCATCCTCCACGGTTTCAAACAGTGCCCATACAGATGCCAGCATCACAAGCAGTAGCTTACCTGCTGTGCCACAAACTGGCACCAATGTAGCATGTTTTCATGGATAAATTTTATTTTCCAAACAAACAAACAAACAAAATAGTGATAAACCCATTGTTTTACACTTTTGTAAATTTCTTTAGAGATCTGGATATTGAAAGACAGACAGATGGCTCACTCATCTGCTGAGCAATAGAAAGTTACTATTACATGTTATGTAGCCTCTGAAAAGTCTCTCTATATGCTTGTGAGAGAATTAAAAAAAAAAAACTGTGTCCTGATGGACCCCCTGAAAGGGTTCTGGGACTCATCAGAGACCCAGCTCACATTTTAGGAACCTCCACCTCGGCTGTATTGCCGTTTCAGAAGCCTGGTCATTGAGCAGCAGTCCTAGCCTCTACCACTAGATGTCAGTAGCACTGCACTTGTCAACTTCGGCAATGGAAATGGTCTGTAGATTCTTTGCCATTTATGGAGAGCAGGGGTTTTGTGAACAATATCATCCTGGTTAAGAGCCACTACTCTAGATATACGAGGGCATTTTCTTTTTTTTTTATTAAAGATTTATTTTATTTTTATTGGAAAGGCGGATATACAGAGAGGAGAGACAGAGGAAGATCTTCCGTCCGATGATTCACTCCCCAAGTGAGCGCAAAGGCCGATGCTATGCCTATCCGAAGCCAGGAGCCTCTTCCGGGTCTCCCACGCGGGTGCAGGGTCCCAAAGCTTTGGGCCGTCCTCGACTGCTTTCCCGGGCCACAGGCAGGGAGCTGGAAGGGAAGCGGGGCTGCCGGGATTAGAACCGGCGCCCATATGGGATCCCGGGCGTGCAAGGCGACGACCTTAACCACTGCCCCACCGCGCCGGGCCCGAGGGCATTTTCAAAAGCTCATGGACAGACCTGGAGCTGTGGTGCAGCACATAGTCACAGCCTGAGACACCCGCATTCCATAACGGTGCTAGTTTGTATCCCAGCTGCTCCACTTCCCATCCCGCTCCCTGCTTGTGGCCTGGGAAAGCAGTCAAGGACGGCCCAAAGCCTTGGGACCCTGCACCCGTGTGGGAGACCCAGGTACTCTGATGTGACAGACAGGTGTCTTAACCACCATGCCAAACGCTTACCCCTCATGAATTTTTTTTGGAAGTACCCTAGTATACTTTCAGGCACATTCTCTCGTAACACTCATACACAAACAACTCCATTGATGAGTCTTATTATGAGGACTGTAAAAACGAAGAACTCATGTTCCCAGCCTGCTCTGCAGAGTCCCGCCTCTTCCTGTTGTGAAAGAGGACGCTGTGTGGTGGAGGGGCACGTGCACATAGTCATCTGACCTCCGCAGAGGAACTGCTGTGTGACTGAGAGCCAAGACATGGCATAGGAGCCATGGCACCAGCCCAGGGCTGTACCTGGAACTTACATATCTACGTGTCTAAGCTGAGAAGAGTCAGTTTACCCCGTAAATTGCAGCCAAAGGCTGAAATAACCAGTATAATTAGAAAATCAAAGCAGAGATGTGTAGTTTCATGTGTTGCTATAAACCATAACTACCACCCAGTTCCAGAAACCGTACCCTACCACTCTCCAAGTCCCATCCCAATATCAAACCCCCCTTTTCAGTCCAAAAGAACCATCGATCTGAATTTCATACAGTAATTACTTCCTTGCCCTGCCTCAGGGTTTACTCACCCAAATGCATATTCTCTGACACTATCAGCTTTCTGTTAAAGTTTATTTTTCTAATTTGTGTGTATGAGAGAGAAAGGGAGAGAGCTTACATTCAGTGATTCACTCCTCCAAGTTTCCACAACTGCTAGGATGCTAGGGCTGGAGCAGACTGAAGCTAAGAGCCAGAACCTCCACCCAGGCTCGCACGTGGCTAGCAGAGACCCAGGTGCTCCAGCCATCATCTGCTGCTTCCCAGGGTGCACACCGGCAGGAAGCTGGGTTAAAGTAGAGGTGGGATCCTTTCCCAAGCACTCCAAACAGGATGCGGATGCTCTAAGCTGTGGTTTAACCTGTGGTGCCACAATGCCCTCCCCTGTCCATTTTTTTGAAGTTGTAATTCGCACACACACACACACACACACACACACATTTATGAGATTCACTGTGATGTTCATTGTGACATGAACAAATCATAGCAGCTAGCAAATGCCTGACTCCAAATCCCCTCTGCTAGCTAGTATGAAGTATACACCAGAATACTGCGCACCATAATTACTCTCTTATGCACTGTAACATCAGAACTTCTTGCTCTTACCCACCTTCCCTCACCACCCTTCCCCTTTCTGCCCTGCCCCAGGTAAACACCACTCTACTCTCTGACCCATCTGAGATCAACTCTTTAAGCCTCCGTACACGAGTGACATCATGTGGCATTTCTTTTGCTGCACCTGGCTTACTTCCCTCACCATCTTGTAGGTTCACCTGCGTTGCTTCAAGTGACAGAATTTCATTCTCTTTTGGTGGCTGAGTAATATTCCACTGTACATAGGTAGTTGTTTGCATGCTTTTCAGTCTTCAGGATTTTCCTCCATTCCTTTGTCTTGGCTCTGTTTTCGTAATGTTCTATTGTCTAGTTCTCTCATGTCTGAATTATCCAATCCTAATACAGGCAGTTCTTTTACAAATTCAAGCATTTTCTTAATTTCCTTTAGCTTCTTCTGGAATATTAAAGTTTCACCTGTTAGGAACAATATTTTTCTACTCTTACCTTCACTGACTGGTGCCCTATTATTCAGAGATGTTCTCTTTGAGTTTTGTTAAAATGCAGGTTCCTCAATCCGAGTCTGTTGGTCATATTTAAATCAGCTGGGAAAAGGGTAGAAGTAGGCCCGGAGGAACTTTCCTAGTTTTGTGGTTCTAGAGTTCCCTCTTCTGGTTTTACATAGAACTTTAAAAAAAAAAATACAACCTCTGCCACCTCCCCAACATTTCTGAAATCTACAGCCAGCCCACCTTCTATTGGTTTCTGGGCTTTCTTTAACGCCTGCCCTCAGGGCCCATGGCTCCAGCAGCTCATCGTTAGACAGCGATTTTGGCCTTTGCAGAGAGCTCTTTATTGGCTATTTCCGAGAACCCTGAAAACCCACTCATGTCTCTTCTGCTGCTTCTCCAGTCACTCTCCTTGTACTGCCCAGGCAACCGGAGCCTGCAAGGTCTCCTCCACACTTCACCTGTTAGCAAGCAAGTGCAGATCGTTCTTTAATCCCACAAGGAAAGCCCTCCTTCTGAGTATCAAAATCTGTGGGAAGTTTCTGGTTTCCCTTGCACTCTAATAGGCAGCACCGCCCCCCCCCCCTTTGGCTCCATGCGCAGCTGCTCTGCCTGTATTCTGAAATCTACCACCACTGGCAGGATATCCCAGCAGGTGTTTTATTTGTTTGTTTTTCCTTTTGCTGTCTTTCTGATAGGAGCTTAAGGAAGCTTCCAAATGACACTGCCCCCACCTTTCCTTTTTAACCAGGTGATTCCATTTTCTAGGAGTGAGCAAAAACTACTTAGTCTTTGAAAAATATCTGCCATAGCAAGAGGCTACTCCAGATTATTATACACCGAGGGGCTGAAAACAGTCCTCGGCACTCCGATGCAGAACAGACAGCCGCCAGGGCGTGTGCCCAGTGACTGGTGCCCTGACATGCACAACAGAGATCAGGATGGGAGGCCCTGGCTAAGACCTGGCTCTTTAGGCCATTTCGAAAGTGAACCAGCAGGGAGAAGCTCTCTTGTCCTTATTCTGCCTTGCAAGTAATATTCTTAAATATTACTTTGCCGAAATATCCTTAAAATGTCTTGCATTTAATCCAATGAACACTGAGAAAACAGCAGTCACTGAGGCCTTACCATGCATTCTACCAAGGATTACACTTTCATGTAGCTCTCAGAAGACCCTGTCAGGTGGACAGCACCATCACCTGCTTCCAGCTAGCCCTTATGAAACAGGTCGTGTATGATGAGCTGTTTTCCACTGCTGTACTGAAATTGTCAGAATCATAACAGCTAGCCAGGGAAAACTTTGACTGCTCACTCATACAGCATTTTCATCATGCATTAGCACAGTGAAGTAAGGGACTGCAGTACAGAACTTCCAAAAGCCCTGCTGACCTCTAAACGTGATTTTCCTTAAATAACAAGAATTTTTTTAAAAATCACATATGGTTAATTTATTTTCCCATGTTAATAAAAAGTATCAGAGAGGGCATTGTGGTTGAGTGGATTAAGCCTTGTTCAGACCCTGTCTACCTGGCTTTCCATCCAGTTTCTTGCCAATGTGCCTGGGAGGCAGCAGATCATGGCTCAAGCAGTTGAGTCTCTGCCACTCACATGGGAGACCTGTACAGAGTTCTGGGTTCCTGACTTCGACCCGGCCCATCCCTGGCTGCTGTAATCATTTGGGGAATGAAACCAGTAAATGGAAGTGTTTCTCTCTCTCCCTCTCTCCCCCCACACCTTTTTCTCGCTCGCCCTCTCTCTCTCTCTCTCCCCCCGCCCCCTATGTGCATATCACTCTTTCTTCCAAATAAATGAATCTTTAAAAAAGGGACAGCATGCAAAATTCATAACAGTAACAATAAACACAGAAGTAGTCTGAACTTCAACTTCCCATTCTCCCCATCCTTAACTTTATAACCAAGCTCAACACCTTTGCTTTGCCCCTCCTAAGCAAGCCGGTGCATGAACACAAGGAGGAAAGTGAGTGTTGATAACCAGAAGAGGACAGGCTGACAATGGCAGACTGGCTAAGTGACTTTTAAAGGATGGGATTCAACAGACTGTGCCCTGCCCAGTTAGAGCAGGACCACTAGGATCAGAGAGAGTAAAGTCACAACAGCTGTTTCCAAGTGGAAGTGCACCAAGAAATCACAATTAACTGACTGGCGACCACAGGTACACTTACACACTGAGCATCCCTGGTCTGAAATGTTGTAATATTCTAAAATCTAAATCGTTTGGGGCACCAATGTGACAATCAAAAAGGTTCAGACTCTGAAGCATTTCAGATTTTGATTTTCAGATTGGGGATGCCCAACTGGTAATATCTTCATAAATATTCCAAATTAAAAAAAATAATAAAATAAACCCTCCCCCCCCCAAAAAAAAGAAGAGGAAAAAAGAAATGCTTCTGGTGCCAAGTATTTCAGATAAGAGATACTGTAGCAATATTTAAAACTCAGTGGGGAAAAGTCAACAAATGGCAGATATAGGAAGAACACAAAATTTAGTGTTTGTTCTTAAATATTTCACATCTGTTTACTAAAGAATTGGCACTTGGAAACTTGCAGGGTAAAGTCTAAGTATCACCAGGTACCAAACAGACTTAAAGAACTGTGGGAACAGGTCATCGAGGGAGTCTGAGATGAAGGTAGGTGGCAGACTGGAATTGAGTCCCAAAAGATGGGCAAAAGACTCATGAGCCTAGGCGATGCAACTACAGAATTTTTCTTGCATACACAGATGATAGATTTTGACACCTTTGAGTAAGGTTAACTCAATGGGTATAAAAGTGTTAGGATTAAAATTAGAGGGATCAGTCCATAATGGTTTCCAGAAGGGAAGAACACCTGTTTTCCCTGACAGCTGCCCAGCAACACACTATGGCACAGAAATAGAAGCTTACATTTCCTTTCTTGCATTGTGGAGTCATCCAAATGACACAAAAGTGGTACATGGCACTCCTGACAACCCCGGAATGGAGAGGGCTGTCAACCACACAGCAGTCTATACCTCCCTCCCTGCCACCCCCTATGGTGTTACCTTCAACAGGAAGATCCAAGTCTCAGGCCAAGTGTATTATGGACAAGAACCTCTTGTTTTTTCATTCCAAGCAATATTATATTGTACTACCAAAATTTTTGTTCAACGTACTAAACACAAGAAGCCATTCTGGTGTGTAGTCTCCATCTAACTCTGCACCGAACTTTTTTTTTTTTTTATCTCTTTTATGACCCACATTTCCAAACAATGAATTTTTAGGAGGCTAGTAAAACACCTTTAATTTCCAAAAACATTTCACATTTCAGAAAGATTTCCATTTTCAAAGCTGTTAAAGTTAATGTACTGATGTTTAATAAGTTTAAACCTTCCATTTTCTAGTACTTTCATTTAAACAACACCCTTACTGTGCCCGTCTTCACAGGCTAAATAAAAACGATGAGACACAGTAATGCCTTCTGTTATTATCTAACCATAGCAGAGACACATTAGAGGCAAGTAAGCAATTACAAAGATAATCTGGAAAAGTAAGCCTTTCTATCTAATTAAATAGAGGAGTACTAATAGCTTTGAAACAATCACAATAATCTTTATGCTACCCTTAACCTCTTTCCTTGAACTGCTAGTAAGAAGTTAGTAATAAAGTTATAGATGGACATGACTAGCAATGTATTTTCAGACTACATATCTTTTTCAGATATGTGAGAAATTTATTTTTCAATAGATATACTTCTGAAGACAGTCACAGATAGCATATTAAAACAATAAAGCTACTTTCCACAGTGCCCTTTGGAAGCACATTTGGGTTCATTGATGATCTATTACTTATTTTTTACAAATCAGGAGGAAAACAGATAAATCTGCCAAAGTCACAGTGGATAGAGACCCACACAGTTAGCAGATGCTACACTCAGTGTTGTCCATGCATCATTTCACATGATCATCATTGACAAGAGTTCTAGGAAACAAGAAGCATCCTTCCTACTTTTGACTAAGGGACTGGATGGGAGAGGATAAAGTGGCCACCTGAGCAGCAAGTGGCAGGGCCACTCACCCAGACACCTGCTAGTTCACATCCCACCTTTCTTTGCACAAACCAGGGCACCTCAACCAGCTACATTTTCAGCATCAATTTGTTTATGGTATTTGTAATAAAATACCAGGATAAGAGAGGTCAGCACATTTTGGGACAAGGGGGCTCTTCAGAATCACACAGCTGTTGAAAACTATGCAGTCCATTGCCACTAGTCACATGTAGCTATGTCGATTTCAATTATGGAACAGGTCATTTAGCCTTGAGGTCAAAACTCCCTCATTCCACATCACAGTTAACTGGATTTTATTTCTGGCTCCAGCTCTTAACTCCAGCTTCTCAGGGATGCAGATCCTATGAGGCAGTGGTAATGGCTCAAGTAATTGAGTTCCCACCACTCAAGTGGGGGACTTGGACTGGGTTCATAGCTCCTGACTTCAGCCATGTTCAGTCCAGCTGTTGCAGACATTTGGGGAGGTAACCAGTAGATGGCACAGTGCCTATGATGACTCTTGTGTACATGCTCTTGCTCTCTCCCAACACTCCTCAAATAAAAACAAATTCAAAAAATATATTGTCTTTTTATTCGAAAGGCAGATTTACAGAGAGAAAGAGAGAGGTCTTCCACCTGCCGATTCACTCCCCAAATGGCCGTAACAGCTGGAACTAATCCGAAGCCTGGAGCCAGGAGCTTTTCCCATGTCTCCCACACAAGTGCAGGGTTCCAAGGACTTGGACTATCCTCTGCTGCTTTTCCAGCCCATAAGTAGGGAGCTGGATGGGAAGTGGAGCACAGCACACTTGAATAGGTGCCCACAGGGGACCCATGCACTTGGGCCACCTTCTATTGCCTACCCAGGTGCATTAGCAGGGAGCTGGATTAAAGCAGAGCATTGGGGACTGAACTGCCATTTCGATCACAAGAAGAGGCCTAACCCACTGTATCACAATGCAGCCACTTATACAGTTATTAGACTGTGTTGTTTAGGGAATAATGTCAAGGGGAGAAAAGCTCTACACATGTTCAGCACAGATACATTTTTCCCCCCAATATTTTCAATCCATAGTTAGTTGCACCCAAGGAAGCAAATGCTGCAGACATAGAGGGCTGACTGTAATCTCAGTTGTTGGCAGTGAAGACAATTATTGTTTCAACTGCTTTTATGCAGATTTCACTGTAAGTTATAACTTGGAGGAGAGCTTTATGTATGTTTCTGAGCTGTGAAGAAGGAGGAGTGGCACATAATAACTTTTAATAGGTGGTTCAACTAACACTTGAAAAAACAAGGCAGGAGACTTCTAAGAAGCCACATCATAGTGTGCAATCACGCAGGAGCACTGCACAAAAGGTGATTATGCATTAAATTGCATTCACTCCAGGTACCCATGTGTGTTTCCACTAAGAAAAGATATTATTTAAACCAAATGCTCTGTTTCCAAAGGCACAACACTGAAAACAAAAACAGACTAAACGCAGACATTATGACCAAATCAGTCATTTAAAATACAAAGCAAAAAGAGACACAGGTGTAAACAAGGGTCCACTGATAGACGAACGGATAAACACAGTACAGACACACAATGAATTATTGTTCAGCCTGAGAACGAAGGAAATCATGACAGATGCCACAACACAAACGAGCCTGGAGCACATTATGCTAAGTGAAACAAGCCAGATACTCAAGGATACCACATGATTCTACTTACTCGGGGTTTTTTTTTTTTTACAGTCACCAAGTTCATAGACACAGAAAGTTCAGTGGTAGTTGTCAGGAGTGAAGAGTAGGAAGAATTGGGGAGTTATGTTCAATGGGTAGGGTTTCAATCGTGCAAGATGAAAAAGTTTGGGAACTTGGTTGCATAGTAACACAAACAGATTTAACACTAATGAACTAGTCATGCCGAAATGGTTAAGATGGTCAAATAATAATAACAATAACATGGGGATATATACACTTCTAAGCAAGATTGACTATGTACCATCAACTCACTTCTTCTACCATTCCATTTTAATACTATAGTCTCCTTTTTGCAACCAAAGTTAAGGATTGCTCCCACATTTTTCAAGATTTCAATAACAACATATACTCAAGCCAAACGCATAAATACCTGGGTCAGTGGCAGAGATAATTGCTCCAAAAAAGAGGCAATCCGTGTAGTAAAACTTATCTGAGAGCTGTCCCACAATCTTCATGAGTTTCACCACACCATACATGAGATTTCTAAAATAAGCCAAGGTCAAGTGTCAGGTGAGAAGAATCTGAGTGATGTACCAAACATGCAGAGTAGTCCTAGGATACTATACTGGAAAAAAGTTTCATTAAAACTACCAGGTGGCTGCTATGGTTGCGCACATCCCAGAAACGTGGGCAAACAGGAATACAGTTGGCAATTAAAGTCATCTCACTGAAGCATCTGAAAATTTTATTCTTAAAATTTGTGTGCACTGGGCCCAGTGTGATGGCTAAATCCTCTCCCTGCAAGTGCTGGGATCCCATATGGGCCCTAGTTTATGCCTTAGCTGTTCCACTTCTCATCCAGCTCACTGCTTGTGACCTGGGAAAGCATTAGAGGACTGCCCAAAGCCTTGGGACCCTGCACTTGTTTGGGAGACCAAGAAGAAGTTCCTGGCTCCTGACTTCAGATCAGCTCAGTTCCAGCCATTGCTGGGGGAGTGAACCAGCAGATGGATGATCTTTTCTTCTGTGTCTCCTTCTCTCTGTAAATCTGCCTTTCCAATAAAAATAAATCTTTTTAAAAAGGTGTGCACTAAGACAATAGGGGTGGGTGGAGAATGGGGAAGGAGGAATAGGAGGTGGAGGGGGGAATTCCTATACCTTATAAAACTGTATTATGGAAAATAATAACGAAATAAAAAAGGTTGTGTGGACTAACAACTATAGCAGCGATGAAGCAGGTGTTCAATTAGCAATGAGAAAAGACATCTTAAGCAGCCAGGTCACAATGGGGAAGGGAAGGGAGAGCTCCACATCATGTGTAATAAATTGCTACTACAAAAACTCAAAAGCTTCGAAGATAGTGTATTTGAAGTGCTAGAAATGACGGGCCTGGCAGGGAGGCTTGGCACACAGCTCTCAGTAAGTGACCTGCTCACTGTCCTCTCCATCCAGAATTACTTCAAAGGGGAGAAAGGCCAACCTCTCTATATATCCCTTATGTGTCTATGTGCACAGCCAGCCTCCCTCTTTGCATGGGCCAGGATCTGCTGCTGTGCAGGATATGATGTGATCTAAGGGGATTCTACTCTCAGCTTGGCTGGTGCGCATTTCCTATAGGACAACTTAAAAAAAATGGGGGCAGTGAAGGAGTGTTCAAAGGGCTGGTAGCACAGATTACAGAAGTGTGATGCATGGATGCATACAGGTGTATAATTACATTAGTTGTGGGGTTAAGAGAGTGAAAAGAGTTACGGAGTTGACTCATTTTAGCCTACGACCATGTATATCAGTGCCTATGGGTTTGGAAGAGTACTGGTTAAAACATTTGGTATAATGTCCTGTAGTTCAGATTTGTCTGATTTTCTCTCATGGTTCCATGGAGGTAATGTGCCTTTGGGTGGAAGACTTAGAGAGGCCAAGTGCCCTTCTTATCCCACAACATTAAGGATACATATCATCATGTCATGGCTTGTCGCCGTTAATGTTAATCTGGGATGTAACTTAGCCCTTCCCATTCTACTTTGCATATGAGCTGTGCCCAGTGACTTTTTAATGGTACAGTACAGAAAGGAGAAAGAGTAGCTTTACATAAGGTTTTCTCTTGTGTCCATTTGACATGACCCATGTCTCTTTTGTTTGTTTAACTTCTAAGTACTCCTTTCCTTCCTGGCATTATGAGACGAAGGAGGAGAGAGAAGCACAGGGAGAAGACGTGGAGATCTTTCATCTGCTGGTTCACCTCCCCAAATGTCGATAACAGCCTGGGTTGGACCTAGCCAAAAACCAGGAGCTCAGTCTGGGTCTCCCACATGGGTGGCAGGAACCCAACTGCTTGACCCATCACCTGCAGCTCCCAACAGCGCATACATATTAACAAGAAGCTGTAATTAGAAGCAGAGCAGGGACTCCAGCCCAAGCACTCTGACATGGAATGTGGAATACAGGCATCCCAAATAGTATCTTAGCTAACTATACCAAATGCCTGCCTCGAATGAAACTGTAACTTGAACTGAATGATGCACAGCTACCATACTGGAGAGTTTAACTGTCCATTCTAAGTGTCATGATCACAAACATCAAAAGATGACATTCGTGGTAGCCAGGTGGACCTCATCCCGTGGGAAAATATGCTGTTTTTAGTCTTGTGAAAAAGTTCACTCACCCAATAATGAAGCAGGAAACGGCAGTCCCCAGGAAGGCATAGGCCAGAATGGACCCAAGGTTCCTGAAAAAGTGTCTCTACAAAAAACAAAGCAACAGAAATTACACTGGGATTTTGGACAGCGAATATAAGAAACATGTCAAAGGTCTTCCGAACATGAAACTCTACGAGCTGCTTCTGTTACATCAGGAAAGAACAGAGATTACTCCTGAATCAGGCTACATAGCCTTAAATACCATGGTTTTAAATATCTTCTGCATTGCCAATCACCGAGCAAATCACCAAGGTATGAATCAAAACTACTCACGCTGATTATACAAAATAACTACGTACACGTGTGTGTGTGTGTGTGTTGGTATGCATAAATAACCCAATCATTTTCTTTTTTGTTTTGATGCAAAGACACAGGTTGATTCAAACCACCACCCAGGGGAAGGCAATCTCTTTAGTCTTAAATACGCTGTTTCCAAGTTGCAAACCGGAAGAGAACTTTGATGCTGGAGATTGTTGAAGTTTTTCAGGGTTAGTACTGACTTTACTTCAATGGAGCCTTAGACCAATCATTTTTACAGATTTAATCTTAAATATCTGCTTTCAGGACTTGAGGCAGCTCTTTATATTAACCTGGATTCCATCTTCGGAGGCTGGGCGAGAGGGAACATAAAGATGGACGTGGAGAAATGAGAAACAAACTGGTAGTTCCTTCCATTCAAGGTAGACAAGTTCATCTAGGATAAAACTTATACCAATACAATATCTAGCAATGGTTCAGAAAGAGGCACAAAAAACCTGCAATTTTCTCACACTCATTGGTTACCCTAAAACAGACAAATACACACACACACACTACATATGGGCTCACATCTTACAAGTCATTAGGCCTGTAGGATATTCTGATGAGGGTAAAACAAGAAAAAATCTCCCCAGATCCTAGTCAAACAGGGGTAAGAACACTATTTCTAAAAGTTAAAAAGAAAAAAGGAAGGAAGAAAGGGAGAGAGAGAAAGGAAGCAAGCAGGCAAGCAGAGCTTCTGCATGCCAACTGAGGAACACAAGGAAAAGACAACAAAAAGTCAGGCAGTCACCATGAACAATATGCACAAAATGACTGCAGGTGTTCTCTGGTCTGCACAGAAGACACAGGGTCTGAGGCCTCGGCTTCTGCCTCCCCCAGTGCTTGCCCCATGGGAGGCTGTGAACCTGGCAAGGGATGCATTGTTTTCAATTAGCAAGCATCGCAGCTCAAATAAACCTCATTGGGTTTATATAAACTGCTACCACGCAAAGCAAAGGGATGCAGTGTGATCCTAAGTCACATGCTCAGGAAGGAATGTTTCAAGGGCTTACCATACCAACAGTTACCAAATGAGGGCGCTCACTATCCATGTTATGAATACAACTGTGTTTCTTAAGCCATTATCCTGAATCCTTTTTTTCTCAGACTAATACATTTATACACCAATGTTTGTTTGTTTTTCATGTTTTAATTAGACTTCAAAAAAGCCAACAATTGTGTGCCCATGGAAAGCCCTACCACAGACTATCTTGGGGACGGGGAACATTATGTATCAGATGAATTCATATTCATGACATCAGTTGAAGTAAAAAAAAAAAAAAATCAGGAATATAAATCTTCCACCAAAATCACATAGATAATATATTCTAATATATCACACACCCCACCCCCAATACGCATAAGCAATTATCCATCTTGCCTTCATATCTGTTGATGTAAACTGAATTTTTTAAAGACTTATTTATTTCTTTTATTGGAAAGGCAGTTTTACAGAAAGGAGAGACAGAAATTTCTTCCATCTGCTGGTTCATTCCCCAACTGGCTGCAATGGCCAGAGATGAGCCAATCCGAAGCCAGGAGCCAGGAACTTCTTCCAGGTCTCCCACGCAGGTGCAGGGTCCCAAGGCTTTGGACTATCCTCCACTGCTTTCCCAGGCCACAAGCAGGGAGCTGGATGGGAAGTGGAGCTGCTGGGATTAGGACTGGCACACATATGGGATCCTAGTAGATGCAAGGTGGGGATTTCACCACTAGGCTACTGTGCTGGGCCCTGAAATTTTCTCGCACCTTAAAGAGACCTATCACTTATTTGTGTGTCACACCTAGTACTTAAAAGCACACTTCCTAGTTCACAGAGTACTTTCACATATATTATTTAGCCCTGTCATTTCTCACAGTGACACCATCACACAGGTATTATCTGGAGCACCTTATATGGTACAAATCTAACGCTCAGAGGCATGATGTGCACTGTCTACCATCACACATCCACTAAGCCACTTCCCCAGATCCTCCCAGTCAGTTTCCTCACTCTGGCACATGGCACGCTCACCATACAAGCTTTCCTGCTACGGAGCTCTTCAATTCCCACTGCTTTCCCCTGGAGAAGAAAGGACAGGAGAGATTGACTGGGGTCCCAGATCTTCCATCCTATCTATATTGGGCCAGGAGTGATTCAGAGTCTCCTCTACTTCTCTCCCTGTAGTTAGAGAACTGTGAGATGAAAGATGATGTCATGCCATGGAAACCCTTAAGGATCTAAGCCTGGAGGAATGTGACTTAACCACGAAGACATCAGTTAAGACACCTGTGTTCTAAATCGCAGGGCTTGGGTACGATTCTACCTCTGATTCCTGACGAACAGCTTCCAGCTGATACAAACCCTGAGAGGCAGTGGTGATGGCACAAGTAATTGGGTTTCTGCCACCTACCTGGGAGATTCAGCTCAGGGTTTTGGCCCCAGCCAGCCCTGACCATTATACACATTCAGGGAGTAAACCAATGCAGAAGAGCCTCTGGGACCCGGCACAATGGCTCAGTGGCTAAATCCTCACCTTGCAAGCATCAGGATCCCATATACATACTGGTTCATGTCCAGAATGCTCCACTTCCCATCCAGCTCCCTGCTTGTGGCCTGGGAAAGCAGCAGAGGATGGCCCAAAACCTTGGGACCCTGCACTTACATGAGAAACCTGGAAGAAACTCCTGGCTCCTGGCTTCAGACTGGCTCAGCTCTGGCTGTTGCAGCCATTTGGCGAGTGAACCAGTGGAAGAAAGATTTTTCTTTCTGTCTCTCCTTGTCTCTGTAAACCTGCCTAATAAAAATAAATAATTTTTTAAAGAGCACTTGCTTCCTCCCTCTCTCCCTCTTCCACATAGCATCCTACTTTCTAGCTATGGCATTGTTACATTGCTACCTCCTGGTTTCTTAAACTCGTTTCTTCTTCCTCTCATCAACACATTTTAACATGTCAGTGACAGAAGTGAGCCCAAAATGAGGGGTTTAGTCAGTGTGTTTTTTGCTTTTGAGTGTCTTATAAATAAGCATAAGGTAGGGTAGTGGCACAAAATCAAATCACCAAAAGGCCCATGTGTGCCTACGGGTTTATGTGCATTAGTCCAAGTGTCTATTCACAGACCATCATCTAAGTGGGGAAATGTTTACTGAACATTTAACTGACAACAGGTTTAATCACAGATGGCAACTGAAGTTCCTCTGTGAAGACTATTTTCAAAGAGAAGTGTCTAAACCAACGGTTGATAACCTGAAGAGCTAACATTTCAACAACAGCCTCAGCCACGAACTGACAGAGCTTGTTATTTGCTTTTCTTTTGAGAAAATAAGGCTGATAAAGGGAAGGTTATTCAACACACTAACATGTTCATCCACATTACAGAGGCTTTTGCAAGCCATGATTTAGTTTCTTTTGAAAACAACTATGACTTTGATTACACACGAAGATTAGTTATTTAAAATGCCAAATTCCTCATTATCCATTCAATCTGATCCCAACATGACCCCCAAATTCTTCAGTGAAGACTAATATTATTTATACTCATAATAGCTATCTTTATCTATTATACTTCAATAATCAACACAGAGATTCAGACAACTTTGGCAACCTCCCAAAACACCTTTTAGGGGGTGGGATATACAGGAAACTTACTTCTAGAGCCAGTGTAGTACAAAGGAATAACACTTGGCCTTGAAGTCGGGGCATAACCTTGATTCAGCCCCATACCATCACATGCATTATTCATCATTTCAAGTTCAAAAGCACGGCACTCCACGCGCATGTGCACAGACGTGACAGGCTGGGGTGTGGGAACACGCACAGTATTCTGCTCCTCAAACATGCATGTCATGGGGAGGGGGTCTCTGTCCAATTCCTCTTCCCCATCCCCTCCTCTCTGAAGGTGACACCATGAGGCATCCCTGATCTCTGCAAGGGAAAATGAACTTGACCCTGACCTGTAGTCTTGGCCCCCTTGTGCAAAGTGCTTTCTCCTCTGGCATCAACCCTGGGCAAGAGGTTACCCTCGCAAGTCCCACAGTTCCTAGAATCTATCAATTTGCAACCTCCTTATCTGTGACTATGACTCTGATTGACATGGGTGTTTCACGGAACGTGTCCTCAGTCCTGGAGGTGGCCCGTGAGGAGCACCATTGCTAAGGTCTTTGCATAAACTTAAGTTTTCACTTCTCAGATAACGCTTTAGGCGGGAAAATGCTGGGCCTTCGTAAGGAACTGCCAACTTGTTTTCCAGAGCATCTGTACCATTTAACATTCCCACTGGCAATGTCTCAGCGCCCCAGATTTTAAAACAGAGATGAATCACTGGTAATGAGTCAACCAAAGTCTCTGAGTGGGTGCAAAACATGGTAATAAGCCATCCTGGAGAGAAGAGAAAACTAAATAATGCAGGTAAATTAGCGCAAAGATCCACAGGCTTCGAGAAACAAATGATTTTAAAAACTAAGCCTTCTTACCTTCTTTAGACTATAGCCAGCATGGAAAATAATCGGAGGCAGCAAAATGTTGAAAAATACCTCTGGGTCAAATGTCACCTAGACATTTAAACAGAAAAAAAAAACAATTTTAATACCAACTGGCATTAGAGTATCTGTTCCCTATTTGAAGTCACTGACTAAAGCTTGAATACTTCGAGCAAATAACAGAAATGTGAAAACATTAACTCATCCCAGAAGAGCAGCTACAACTCTCCTGCAAACTGGAAGGTTCTCCTCGCAGCACTTGTAACTCATGACAAAACGGTCCTGCTATATTGTTCTAATAAGTATGACACAACCATTCAATGCAATTTTGAGAACTCACAGGAAGCTTCTGGCCAGTGGTTTTCAACAACAAATAGAAACAGCCCAATTTTTTTCAGTCAAGATTTATTTATTTGCAAAGCAGAGTGACACAGAATGTGAGATACAGGGAGGGAGGAGGTATATCTTACCCACTGGTTCAGTCTCCCAAAAGGATGCAACCAAAACTGGGAGTCTGGAACTCAATTTGGCTCTCCCATATGGGTGACACAAACCCAAGTCCTAGCACTATCATCTGTTACCTTCCCATTCACATCAGCAGGGAGCTGGATTTGAAGTGGAACAGTTAGGACTCAAGCACTCCAATATGGCATGCTGAGATTACAAGTGGTGATTTATTGTGCTGTGCCACAACAGTGGCCCCAGCTTGAAACTCTAAGAGCAAAGTCTTACAATACCCCCCCCCCCCGCAAAAATTAAGCATCCCACCAAACACGCTAGCTAACTTTCTTAAAGAATTTTTAATATCAGTAAATTGGTTTTCTTACCAAAATTATTTTAAATCACTGTTCTAATGATTAAAAGTTAGCCTTTTCAGGGCCAGTGCCATGGCACATCAGGTCAAGCCTCCAGCTACAGTGCCAGTATACTATATGGTTGCCAGTTCAAATTCTGTGTGCTCCAGGTCTGAACTAGCTCCCTGCTTATGGCCTGGGAACGCAGTGGAAGAACACCAAAGTGCTTGGGCCTCTGCACCCACATAAGACCTGGAGGATACTCCTGAACCCTGGCTTCAAACTGATGTAACTCCAGTTGTTTTGGCCACTTGGGAGTGAACTAGCAGGTGGAAAATCTCCTGTTTCTCCTTCTCTATCTCTTTCAAATAAAAAATTTAAATGTTTAAAATGTTAGTTTTTTCTTTGGAAACTGGAGATATTATTAAGGGGCCAGTTCTGTGGCATAGTAAGTTAAGCCTCTGCCTGTGGTACCAACATCCCATGAGTGCTGGTTGAAGTCCCATCTGCTCCACTTCCAATCCAGCTCCATGCTTATCTGCCTGGGAAAGCAGTAAAAGATGACCCAAGTCCTTGGGCCCCTGGAAGAAGCTCCTGGCTTCAGACTGGCCCAGCTCTGATTGTTGTGGTCATCTGGGGAATGAATCAGCTGATGGAAGTTTTTTTTTCTCTCTCTCTCTCTTGTTCTCATTCTTTCTCCCTTTTTACTCCCTCCCACCCCTTATCTTTCTGTAAATGTAACTCAAATAAAAAACAAACAAATAAATCTTTTTCAAAAAGAAATTGGAGGTGTTAACCTCATCAAAGTAGATTTGTTCTTCCAGATTATGTTTTAGTCTATCTTCTTGCTAAAGATAAGAGTAATCTGCAAAGCAGGGGATGTCAAAATGAGAAGGAACCTTGAACAATGCCTATCCCATGTGATAAAACTGGGGCCCAAGGGAGCAGAACCTGCTGCAGGTCATCAAACCCAGCAATGTATAAAGCTGCACAAGGACTTCCTCATGGCTAGTCTCACGTCTAGTCTTCATGTCAACCCAGCCACCTCCTTGTGCCTCGTCCCACCCCCACCCCACCAAAGTGCAACAGCAAGCTGCCTTATTGTCTCAGCTGTCTCTGTCTTATGCAGCATCATTTCAAGCAGCAGAGATCAGAACAGCTTTTGTAATGATAGCAAAATCAGCCCTCACCTCCTAGCAGTCTAAAAATGGAAATTGGTTGGTATCGTCTCCTGTTTTTTCCCCTTTTTCTATCCAATATGAGGGATCTCTTACTTATCCTGAAAATCACATGCATGTGGACTCATAACGCTTTGTCCCATAGAGTAATTTTAACACCCCATTGTTAAATTTCCAAAAAACAATGCCCAAGCTCAAATTTCTTTTTTTTTTTTTTTTTTTTTGTACATCATTCTTTACTTACTTTTACTAGGACAGAGAGTAAGCAAACACTTGCATCTGCAGGTGTACTCTCCAAATGTCTACAGGGCTTGGCCAGGTTGAAGTTAGAAGCCCAGGAAGTCAATTTATATCTCCCTCATGGGAGGCAGGGACCTAGGGACCTAAGGACTTGAGCCACTGGCTGCTATCTTTTCAGTGTGAATTAACAGGAAGCCGGAATCCAAAGTGGATGTGGAATTCAGTCCTGGCCCTCTGCTATGCACGTGGGCATCCAAAGCATCATGTTAACAACAAAGCACCAAATACCAAGCCAGACTCAAAATTCCAACAAGAACTTCTTCTTTCCCTGAACATTCATTTAGTCAATGGCATAAATGATCAATGAGAGTAAGTTCTTAAATACCTGTGCAGCATGACACAAGACATCTGTAGCTGATGGAGAATGCTGATTGTATAATGGACTTGTAATCCCCACTCAGCTTGTTTCCCCACTCAGCTTTTCAGTTCTTAATTATCAATGCCCCATATGTTTGCTATGGTTTAGGGATGAGATTGTTCCTTAACATAGGATTGATTTCACTGTTGGCTTATTAGCTCACTATTAAGGACCAGGGCCCCAGCTCACCTTGCGCAGCATGTCATTCTGCTCCACACTGTTGATCTTGCCAGGGCTGATCTCCCCTTTCAGGGTATATTCAAAGAACTTCCCACTGACATTCACTAGCAAGGTGCTGAAGGCCCTGTCTTCCTGGGTGCAGCTCAGGGACTTGTCGCGGCCACTGGTGGCCGGGGTGCCGTATCTTAAAATCACCCCTACGATAAGACCTGAAGTGAAGTCAAGAGCAAAGAAAAAAGATCAGAACCAAGGAAGGATACATAAAACGTGGGAATAATGGCACTGCCGGTTTTTCAGCAACTAACCAAGGTAGAGGCAATCTAAGCAACTGGAGTGAGGGGGTGGATCCCACGAGCTGACGGTACGCTCCTTCTGAAAGGGTTGCGCTCCATGTCTTCTGGCCTTAGCCAAAAGGAGGACCACATGGCACTTGGGTGAACATTATGACACTCAGAACTTTCACCACCAGATCGTGTCCTATTTCTCAGACTTTCTGGTACAGGATAGTCGGATGAGAAGCAGAGGTGTACGTGCTCCCCATCATGGCACAGGGCAAAACTGCTGAGCCCTGATTTCCCCCAGTGGCATTCCTCATGCCGGTCTCTCCGCCAGGTACCAGCTGCCAGCAAGGAGGCCGCTGGAATTTCTAGTTGCTATAAATGCAACTTGCTTCATCATACATCAGAAGAAGGGGCGGCAGGGGAACAGTTTTGCTGAGGTGGTTTCAACTTCTGGATACCATGGAGAAAGTAATTACATCCTTTGGGAAGCCCAACACTGTGGTGTAAATTTGAGCAGTCATGAATCAGGGGACTGAAAGCTTGTTTCTTGGGGGTCATGGCTAAGCTACAAGGACAAGCAGCTGGAAGTCTTCGCATCTCCTTCCTTCTTAGTAGGGCTTTTCCATTAGGGAAAAAGAAAAACCAGCAAAATCGTATAAGCATGCAACTCCATGAATGAGAAAGCAGTCTTGCTCCCCAGGTACTGGGCATGCATCAACTGTACCCAAGTAAAAGTGACTGAAACATAGAGAAAAACCCCATACATGACTATCAGAAACTTTTTACAATTCTCTCTCAGGAGGAAAAATTTCAGACTCCCCTCTGTGTTCAGTTCTTCGTTCGCAATATGAAAATTCAGAATGACAGACTGCTCACCCATCTCACCTGCTGTTAATAGAGAAAGCTACATGAGAAAAAGAAAAATGTTGGTTATCTTCTACAAGAGTGGTTCAGAATGTTCATCAAAAGTAGAGTACAAAACAATGTAATAGGGGCCAGTGCAATGGCTCAATGGGCTAATCCTCTGCCTACAAGCACTGGCTTGTAGGTTCATGTCCAAGCTGTTCAAGTTCCCATCCAGATTCCTGCTTATGACCTGGGCAAGTAGCAGAGGATGGCCCAAAGCTTTGGGACCTTGAACGTGCATAGAAGACCCGGTGGAAATTCCTGGTTTTGGATTGCCTCAGCTCCAGCCATTGCTGCCATTTGGGGAGTAAAGCAGCAGATGGAAGATCTTTCTGTCTGTCCTTCTCTCTATAAATCAGCCTTTCTAATCAAAATAAATAACTCTTTAAAAAATAATGTAATAAACCATCTTGAGATATAATTATTGTTTTATAACCCCAGTCTACATTTCTGAGGTTCAATGATCTTTCTACTTTCTATTTGTTGAATTCCTTATTTAGAGGAGGATTAAGCCTGTGGTTATAAAGTAAACTAAAAGTACGTTGCTGCAAAAAATTAAAATAAAACAGAAAGGAAGGAAGAGGGAGGTACGGTGGGAAGTATTATGCACATAAAATTGTATATACGAAATACATGAAGTCTGGCACCTTTACACACATTTTTAAACATACAATATAACAATGAAAACAGAAATGTAGAATTAAAAAATAACTTCCTTTGAGTGCAATTTTTAAAATTCCATACACAGTATATTTTTAACAACATGCATTTTCCATGAACTTTTGAAGTGCCTTCTTAGATATAATGTTCTGTAAGGGCTCATCACCAAGGGAAATGAAAATTCATGAGACATTGTTGGATACCAAATAATAATACTTAAAATGGAGAAAAATGTGGTCATTTACGCCAAAGCCCATGTCAGCAATGCACAATTACTAGTATTACTACTTCTATCATTATTGACCCATATTAGCAGATACTTAGTTTTCCAGTTTCAGTGAAAAATCAATCTATAAGGTTTTCCTATAAATAAAAACTAAATTTTTAATAAGCTCAGATATAAAATAATTAAAACCTTTAAAACATGAGAAAAACCAGACTTTTTAATACTGTATTTAAATTTAGGTTTAACATGAAATACCTGTACATTTTATGGGCTACAGTGCAATTTTCTAACAGACATACACAGCATAAAGCAATCATAGCAAGCTATTAGCCTTGCCATTTCCTTTATCACAGACAGAATGAGATGCAGTCAAGTGAACATAATTGGTTCTGACATTCCACAGAACAGCAGGGTGCCTAGTCTGCGATAAAAACAGACTTTTCAACAACAACAAAAAAAGTTTGTCATTAAAAAAAAAAAAAAAAGATTAGTTAGTGGAAAAATAGCAGAAATTCCATAGTGGAAAAGGTTCTAGCTGTCTGGTAAAAGAAAACTGCAAGCATGTAAGGTCTGCATTTCCAATCTTTAGTTTACATCTTCTATTTTATTTTATTAATTTATTTATTTTGGAAAGACAGATCAGATTTGTGGAGAGAAGGAGAGACAGAGAGGAAGATCTTCCATTCACTGGTTTACTTCCCAGATAGCAACAATGGCTGCAGTTGAGCCACTCCAAAGCCAGGAGCCAGGAGCTCCTTTCAGGTCTCCCACGTGGGTGCAGGGTCCCAAGGCTTTGGGTCATCCTCAACTGATTTCCCAGCACACAAGCAGGGAGCTGGATGGGAAGTGGAGCAGCCAGGACATGAACCAGTGCCCATATGGGATCCTAGTGCTTGCAAAGTGATGATTTAATCATTGAGCCATCATATGAGACCCTAGTTTGGGTCTTGTCACAGGCATTTGTATACATTTCTTGCTGTCAGATGAGCCACCAGACAACCACAGAGACAGTGATCTGGCATTTACTCAGCCCTGTCCTGTTTGGCATTGAAGGGAACTTGCCAAGCGGCAGCCACTTGGCCATCTTCTAGTGGGAGACTTTGATGTGTCTGTGTTAATAACAGAAGTTGTGGGGTCTCTACACCAAAGTGGCTGCTGGCCTTGGCTATCTTCTCCCTGGTTCTCCTATTCTTCTTCACTGCTGGTCATAGGTGAGAAGGGGGTTCATGGATGATAAGTCTGATACATAATCAGTCTTGCTGGTGTATCTATTTCTCCTTCCTCCTGCACAGGAGCTTTGAACTGCTGCGGTCCCTTGCACAGAGCAAGACAGGAGGTACCACATGTGTGCCATCAGGCCTGAGACTGAGGAGTGCTCGTCTAATTTACATTCTTGTTGCCCTGCTGGTGACAATGCTGAATGCCCCCATGAGGCAGACAACATCTACTGCAGTCAAGGCCCACTGCATACTTGCTGCCTGGCACTGGAATAGGCTCTGCAACCTTTGCCACCTTTTCTTCTTGAACATCAAATTCTGAACGCACACTCTGTATCTCCTATGCTGCAAAGGCATTTCTTGGTGATTATCTTCTATCTGAGAATCTGGTGAGCAAATGTGTCTTGCTTCCTGCCATGCCTAGCTTGGGTAAGTCCCAGGTTATCTAACGGGGAACTCAACACAGATCCTTGATGTAGATGGCAGGCATCCAATTACTTGAATCATCACCACTGCTTCCTGGGGTCTGTATTCACAAGGAACTAGCATCAAGAGCCAGAGTCAACAATCAAACCCAGGTACTCTGATGTAGAATATGGGCATCTCAGCTGCTAGGCTAAACATATGCTCCACCAAATGGAAAATGTTTTGAGCATGTCAGCTCTCAAAAACTTCAGATTCCAGACATCTCAGATTTTGTACTTTTAGATTATGAATGTTCAGCTTGCACACACGGTCTTCAAAAAGTTCACATAAACAGGTATGCCATAGAAAACTATGGATGTAAAATATTTCTGCACTTAAATAATTTGTCTTTTTCTGATACTCTTACGTTAATATAATAATAACACAAGGAGAACAGATTCAATGTAGTTCATGGACACAATTCTAAGAATATAAAGATATTCCCTTCTTTCCTCTCTTTCCATTTGATTATAGGCCTTTGACTATATTCCCACTGACCTAGGGTCTTTTTACATTTTACTTATTGATCTGTTTTTTAGTAGAGCATTAAGCCCTTGACTGTAATATAAACTAAAAATGTCATCTCAAAAACTAAAAAAAGAAAAAAAAAAGACAGAATAAATTTATAACTCAATTTTCCCACAAAATTTTCCAAGTATCTTTGTACTGCTCAGTGAATAAAGAGAATTCACAGGATTTCAGCAGTGTCAGTAACTTCGGGTTGCGGTTACATACGTTAACTGGTTTGGGGAAGGAATGCTACTGTCTTTCCAATCTTTTTCTACTTGCTCTGCTACTTAAGTATGTGGTTAGTCTGTTCATTCATGGATTCGTTTTAAGGTAAATTCATTAAAAATACTTTTGCTCCTGTTTGAACATACAGTAAAATATTTTTGGAAGAATTTTATTAAGATACAATTTATACACCATAAAATTCAGTTAAGTGCACAACCTTTCATATCTTCAACAGAGCTGTATAACCATCACCACAATCTGATTTCGGCACATTTCCATTTTCAGCCACTATTTCCTGCTCCCATCCCCAGACAACCACTGATCTACTTTCTGTCCCTGTAGGGGACACATTTTCTATGTATTTCACAAATAAATGTTCTTTTGTGTCTAGCGTCTTTCACTAGGCATGTTTTTTAAGGCTCACTCATGTTGAAAGGCATGTATTAGTACCTCACTCTTCTTTATTGCCAAACAGTATTTTACCTTACGGATATACCATATTTTGTTTATCCATTTACTAATTGGAGGGTATTTGCTTCATTTCCTCTTTTTGTCATTGTGAATAATGTTGCTGCAAACATTTACATAAAATCAAATCGGTGTGGACACATGTATCATTTCTCTAGGATAGGAGCAGAACAATTTCTGTGTCCTATGGCAAATTCCTATTTAAGAAATTGCCAAATTGTTTTTCATTTGGGATACTATGTGCCCCCTTA